TAATTTCCAAAGGAATCTATTTTCTATTCAAAATTTTACTATTACCTAATTAATTAAAATTTTCCAAATATATCTTAAATCAAATTTCTTTTAATTAAAAAATCATTACAACCTGATTAGTTGATTAAACTTCTTGCAATACTATAATTAAATTGAATAATCAATCATTTAGGGTTTGGATTAGGTTTGATAATTAACTTAAAAGTAATAAATTAATCAACAAATGTGATATATATATATATATATATATATAGTGATTGATAATTGGTGATACAATGAAATGGGATATTATTAAATATTGTTATCATATTGTAATTTAATAAAATAAAATATAACTAGGACAACATAAAGTGTTGTGTTTGGCAATCAAAATCAACCACATCTCTAGTCTATATTATATATTTATTTAAAAGAATAATTAAATAATCTATCTAATCAATTAATTTATTTATTTATATGACAAAGTAAATTTTTAAATAATCTATCTAATCAATTAATTTATTTATAACAAAGTAAATTTTATGCTTTCATGGGGTGGTTGGGAAAACTATTCCACAAAATTGTTTTTTTTTTTTAATTTATTTATTATAAAATAAATAAAATAAAATAAATTGGGATGTTTCATAATTTGGGATTAGATGGATTTATGGATGTACCAGATTGAACAAGTTGACTGAAAATCAATTATTAATCACATATTAAAAAGTGTCATTTTAAAAAAAAATATTATTATTATTTGTTGGCTTGTTTGTTTGGATTTTTTTTTTTTTTTAACAATAGTTTATTTTTGTTAGTAATAATTATGGCAAATAAAAAATGAAAAATATAGAAAAAAGTTGTAAAATAACAATATATATATATATTAGCAAACGTATTATTTATTTATTTATCTACGATCTCGAGCCAATCAATACGTCATCTCAATGCAAAATAAAACAAACTTAATAGACTCAAATTTAAATAATTTAGTATATGAATAAGATCAAATTTAAATCTAAAATTAAATATCTAAAAATATATAACACTTTCTAATTAATATATACATAGATTCATACAAAACCTATAAGGTTTGTTTAATTTTTTATTTGATGTAATTTTTTTTATGTGACTTATACTAGTAACATAAAAATATTTTTATATTTGTATAATTTACTTCACAAATGTCATTGTATTTATATCATATGAGACTAATAAAAATATTTTTCTCTTAAATTATTGTATTAATATAATAATTGATATTCAAATATTTATAAGCAAAGTTAGTATTTTATTAATATTGATTTTATGTGATAGAATATATAATATATACACATAGCACAAGTTTGAATGACGAGGAAGTAATAAATTTGTTGACGTGGAAAAAAAACATAAATTTAAGAATTTTATTGAAAATTTTATAATGTGAGTAAAAAATTGTTTAGATCTTTTATAAATTTTTAAATTGATGTCACAGTTGGAAGACTCCGGGAATATTGTTTATGATTTAACAATATCTTACAAAAGAGAAAGAAAGAAAGAAACTGTGTGTTTCACTTCATGTTTTTTTTGGGATATAAATATATATTTTTATGATGAATATCAAAACATATATAGTTAATAAAAAATAATATATTTATTTAATTATGAATGTTTTATTGATAAATAAAGTATATATTATATATATTGTGTAAGTATATGCATATATTGTATTTTTTCATGATATTTATTGATAATTGTATTATTTAAAAATTATTGAGTGAACACACAAAAATTAGTAGTATATTTTATCCGTTTCAACTTACTGTACCGTTGACAACAGATTTTGTATATATGTTCAAATATAAGGAATTTTGTTCGAAATTGAGATGTAAGGAATTATAGTGAGTGATCAGATATAGCAAAAATTTGTGATTGTAGACCCTGTATCGTTTATAATAATTATTTATACTCTTTGACGGGTGAATTTTCATGTCGAACATAGGGATTTTAAGTCGCGAATTTAAATCAAGTATTGATCTCATGAAAGCGGCGAAAAAACAGTAAAAGGACCTGCTTTGCAGCGGGCCTGAACCCTAAGCTGCAAAAAACTGGAAAGGAAAGCGATAAAGAGTGAGCAACGGTGAGCGGAGTGGTGGTGAGCAGACCAGGTGCCAACGATGGGTGAGCGATAGGAACATTAGCGGATGACACAACATATATTTATATAGATTGAGCGGTAGAGAGTGATGGAGAGATTCTGTGTCTGAACTATGCGTTACGCAATGACTAGGTTTTTCTGAATGAAATGAGAGAGTTATGCTGTTGTTTTATCGAAACATATATGTATAATACGGAAGCTGTAGGAATGGGGGTAATGTAAATGTATAAACTAGATTACAAAGAATTTTGATCATTGGTACTTGACCTTAAGGGATTTACAACAAGACTTCAATGACACCCAAGAATCAGAACATTATAAGAAAGAAATCTTACTGTCACTAGCAGTTTTTGCCACCCAATAGACCACCGCCTATGCCCCATTAATTATCTCAAATTCTACCTCATTAATGATTTTACCCTTCTGTTACCTCTTTTTAATCAAAATTGAATTTAAACCAATAGTTAAGCAGATCGACAAGGCTCCCACGTACTTAACTACGTTGAACTACCTTGAATCTGTTTGTGACAAAAGACAAGGCTTGAATAATCAATCTTTCTGTGCTTTTTACCAACGAAGTGAAATTCTTTACAACTAGGGTTTATATAAATGTGAAAAGCATGGAAGAAGTGATGACGAAGAACAAATGATATTTCATTACTTACTACCAAAGCCGAAACCTCTAATTTTACAAAAACTGTAATTAAAGCGATAAAGTAAACTAGGTAAGCAGTAAAGTGGTGGTTAAGGGAGAATTCCGGTTGAGAACTGCAGTTACAAAGCAGTTGCAAAATAATTCCAACCACTAGGTAGTTCGGCAGTTGGTGGCGGTTATTCTGTTGAAGCGGTTGCTGGCCATAACTCTCATGATGCTCGCTTCGCTTGCTTGGGCTTGTAATGGCGCAGATTTTTCTCGCTTGGCGGATGACCGGAGGGCATCAGCGCAGCTGAGCGGGTTTGTCTGTGTTGGCTGGTAGTGGAATAGCTGTACCGCTGCGGGTTGGACACTTAGGCGATATTTGCACTGAATTGCCGTCGCTTCGTTACGGTGGTGTCTGGTCGCTGGCCTAAGCGATGTAGCGTCGCTTGCAAGCGGAGGCGGCTATCGCTTGCGAGCGGTAGGAGCTATCGCTTGCCTCTCTTACCTTAGCTTTTCTGAGTTATGGAGTCGTCGCTTGTGTGCGGAAATGATTATTACTTGTCTCATTTGCCTTAACTTTTTCAGACCATATCACCGCTTAAAATGACAAAGACTGTTAATAATTTCAACAAACCAACTCTGAATCATGCCAAGCGAGATAAATCAATAAAGTATGTCATAAATCAGATATTGTGATAATTTTTATACAAAAATTCAAGTAATATAATAATTAATATTTAAATAATTTACACGCAAAAAACAAATATAAACTTTATAAATAGACGAATATAGTATTATTTTTTTAATCTACTAAAAGACAAAAATACATTAAATTGGAAAAGAAGAAACAATAACACATGAACATAATTAGGGGGACAATTAGGCCGGTCCGATTTTAAACCATTCCAAATAGACTCAGCCCAGTTTCAAATCGGACTTGAAAAATCAGGTCCGAGTACGATTCGATTTAAATTTGGGCCGATTCGTTTTCTTTTATTTATTATTATTATTTTTTCTTTTTTAAAATTTTATGTAATATAATAAAATTTTATTTAGATGGTATATAAGAGAATTGGTACCATCAAACTATATTATTATTATTATTGTTAATTTATTAGCTAATATGCACATAAAGATATTAAATTTTAAATATTAATTTTAATAAATCGGACAAGTTATACGCAATTCGACATTCATGGCCAATTTATTGGCGTGCCGGATCAAGTATGATCCTAAAAATTTTGGACGTACTTAGAAATTCATACACATTTTCTTCGATCAAGTTTGGATCGAATATTGAGATCATATTTATTTTTATCAATTTTAAATATAATATACAATTTCGTTTTTTTTCTTAAGTATACAATTTCACAATATTCTTTTTGTAGTAAAATTATACTATGTTTAATATCATTTTTTTTTACAAAATATTCCGCCAAAAAAATATCCTTAAATAAAAAAAGCCTAAACGAGCACTTATTTATTTATTTTTAACAATATGCCGTGTCTACAGCATTTAAGTTTATTAAAAAACTTTTAATTTTAATTTTATTTAAATGTATATTAATTATTTATTTACTGTATAAAAATATTAGTAATAATTAATTAGATAAATATAGTATAAAAAATAAATTTAATAAGTAATTAAATTAAATAGTATATTAAAAGCATTATAAAATTTAAAATTTAAATATATAAAAATAATATTATACTATATTATTTTCTCTATATCATTATTAATAGTAGTATTTATTTTTTATTAACATTAATATAATTTTATATTTATAAAATACTTCTTCAATTTTTTTCTTTTTTTTTCTGTCAGTTAAAATAAATTAGTACTATTCTCTATCTACATAGTATAATATTTATTTTGTTTCTGACATTAAATAAAAATAACATAAAAAAAATAAAAATTAGAAATATTTTATATTTGGTTGATATTTAGTTTTACTAAAAAAATAAAAAATTAACTCCTGCTGACATAATAGAAAATTTACTCCTCCTTTCCCTTTCTTCCTTTCTTCCTTTCTTCCTTTTCTTTTTTCTTCTTCTTCGTCCATCACCCTGGCTATATATTGTAAAAAAGAAAACGCTAAACCGCCGGTTCGAACAAACAGTTTACAGTTCGGGAAAAAAGACGAACCGAACCGTACGATAACCGGTTTCGGTTCGATGGCACAGCCGGTTTGAAAACCTTCCCCAATTTCTTCCTTCCTTCCTTCCTTCTTCCTTCTTCCTTATGCGTCTTCTTCGCTTCCTCCTCCTCCTCTTCTTCTCCTACGTTGTGCCGCCGCCAGCTGGAACATCCGGTGAGTTTGTTTTCGTTTTATTTTTAATTTTTACTGCGCCTATTTGTGTATATATATATATAGAGAGAGATAGACAGAGAGAGAGGTTAATAAATTAGATGCTTGTTTGATTATTGGAGTTTCCAAAATTGTAGAAAAAATAAAAAGTTGTTGGGTTTCTTGGGTTTAGTGGTTTCTAGGATTTGGTGATTTTCTTTTGTGATTTGCAGCTGGGGTTTTTGTTTAATTTTGATTTTTTGATGTGATTTTGGTGGTATTGATTTTAGGGATTGGATTCTCCGGTGGAAATCAGGGGTTTGGTTTTAGGGTTTTGGGTATTCGAAAATTGAATTATTCTGAGTTGAATAGAAGGTTTTGGTGCTGATTTTGAGGTCTGAGAATCATTACCTGTGTGATTATTGTTTGAATTTTGATATCCCTTGAAGCTTTGTAATGGAAAGTATTATTGATTGCCAGAATGTTCATTCAAGACCAAGAAGAATGTAAGGAAGGTATTTGATTTTGATTTTGATTTTGATTTTGAAGCATGTATTGTATTCTTCAGTTTCGAAAATTTCTATTTTGATGCATCAGGTTGGAATTGTAGAGATATACGAATTCGTGATTCGAAGCCATGGTTGGATGTGGAGCTCCAGAGTGATGGGAATTCTTGTTTGAATCATTGCTGAAAATGGGATTAGTTTTGTTAATTTTACTAGTTCTCGTGCATTCGCCGATCGTGCCTTCTTTTGGGTTGTCGAAGCCTGTAAAGGCTTGTGGAACATTCCATGTAGCCTGTGCTGATGATCCTACTCGCGAGTTGTTTTACATTGATGGAAAATTGGTGGATAAATATTTATTCTGTAAGAGTTTGAGGTTTCATGGGAGAGATTGCTTTCTTCGGAAACATGTTAGAAGCCATTATTGCCATTCTTTAGGTATCATCGATTTATTTTTTATCTTTAGCTTTCGAAGTTTATCAATTTTAGGATTAGGCAAAAATGTTTACAATCAACCTGTAGTTTGGAAAGTATGCATGATACTTATTCGTGATTTAAAACCTGCATGAGGCTTCTCTAATTTTAGAAAACATTGTACAGAATTCCCTAAAAATTGCATGAGGCTCTCTTTGTTTTTAAAATATTGCACAAAATCACCTAAAAAAGTAGGAATAGGATTTTGTGCAATGTTTTTAAAACACCATGAAACTTCGTGCAGTTTGTAAATCACGAAGAAACTGGTGAAAGATTTTTCAAACTACAAGTGAATTATAAGCAATTTTGCTTTAGGATTATTATTGTCCGAATCTTGCAAACGCGCATCCTTTGTTTACAGGAAGAAGATTGTTAAAACCTGTGGTTAGGGATGGAGACAGTTGGATTGGTTACGGTGAAAAGTCTCCAAGTGGAAATGATGAAAATGGCAATCGGATTGTAAAATCCAATATGCTAGTCATTGCAGTGCCAGGTTTCTTCCTTTTATGTTGTGCGTTGATTTGTCCATGTTTTCAAGCAAGGAAAAGAGCAACCGAGCATACGGTTCTCTCAAAGGAGCCTAATTCCAGTGAGTATGATCAATTCCATTTAATTGAATGTTTGCTGTTCTTATCTTTGAATGCTCCGTCTTTTTTATTTTAGTTAGAGTTGACAATGGGTCGATTCATGTTGGATTAAATTACTCAACTCTAATCCAATCTGTTTATTATCGTGTCGGGTTCGTGTTGACCCGTTTATTATCGTGTTGCGTTCGTGTTGACCCATATACATAATTAAGTCGAAATCTTTGATTCAAGTTAAATTATTTTTTGTCGTGTTGTCGTGTTATATTAGTTTTCATTGGTTCGAATGTAATGTTGACAATGAAGTAAGTCGAAATCTTTGATTCAAGTTAAATTATTTTTTGTTGTATTATCGTGTTATGTTAGTTTTCATTGGTTCGAACGTAATGTTGACAATGAATTAAGTCGAAATCTTTGATTCAAGTTAAATTATTTTTTGTCGTGTTGTCGTATTATGTTAGTTTTCATTGGTTCGAAGGTAATGTTGACAATGAATTAGGTTGAATTATTTAAAATTGAGCTTAAGTTTAAATTAATACATGAGTAAATCATTAAATTATAATTATTTTACATATATAATAAATATATTAATTACTATTAATATATTATAATGGAGTTGTCGTGTTGGGTTCGAGTTAAGAGCTTCAATCCTAACCCGATCCATTTATTATCACGCCGAGCTCGTGTCAACCCGTATAAATAGTCGGGTGAAATTTTTTGACCCAAACTCAATTATTTCGTGTCAAACCAGTTTTTGCAAGATCTAATCCTAGTGGGTGTGTTTTGTTTGGGGGTTCGGATTTTAGGTTGAAATTTGAATAAGAAAATATTTAAATTGGAATAGTTGTATGATGTGATATAAATAATTATTGATGTGATATTTTGAATATATAATTAATTTTTAGAATAATATAAAAAATAAAAAATGGGTATTTGATTTGATATTTTTTGGGAAAAAAATCTGTGTGAATAGTACAAGTCCTTCAAAATCCTTCAAACAAACACACCCTATCCTTCATTCGCCCCATGTTTCTTTTGTGTGACTTGATATAATCTTTAGTGATTTTATCTACCTTATTCGCACATTTTTTACCGTGTGGGATTAAAGTCCATGATTATGCTAAGGCCTTGTATAATAATCTTAAAAACATGGGTTTCGATTCGATTAAATTAACCCCCTCAACATTATGTAAATGAACAATATGAGCTCAATGGTTTTAACATTGTGTATAAATGTAAATTATTGTTCATATATACTTGCATATAGCAGATTTGATTATATTTTTAATCCATCAAAGTAGACATAAGATAGGCTTAATATATCATTTGAATTTGTTTTTGAAATTATGGTCAAATACCACAAAAGAAAAATGTTTTATTTTTTTAAGAATTATTTTGATGGATTTATTTATTCTATCCATAGGATATGATTAATAATCTCATGAGTTAATCATTTATTGACAGATTCTAATGGTTGTGTAAGGGTAAAACATTTTCATTTCCTTCGTCCAATGAAGTTACTTAGTCGAACATTAGGGTTATATTTGGATTGGATTTGCGGGTTTTTGGAATAGTAAAATTTTGAATTGAAATAGTGTTGGATAAATATTATTTTGCATTATTAGATTATCATGTTTAAATATACTACTCGATTTCACTCTCGTTATCCTCATCTATACCCTTACAATATATTCCACAAAATTTTGTTGAACATTTAGGGTGTGTTCTTTTTGTGATTTACACGTTCCAATTTCTGTTGGGAATGATGAATTGCATAGTAAAAAATATTGAAAAAGTCAAAAGTAGCAAAAACCTTGATTTTAGATCACATACATTTCGACACCCGTATCTTATATATGAAGTATTTCGTAAATTTTTGTTATTTGCAAATCGCAATATTAGCTTATAGTAAGGTCGTGATTGAGTGGAGGTGCAATTATTTTCTCAAGTGTTCTTAAAGTGTAGCTTATTAGGAAGTCTTAGAGAAAATTAACACCTCAGTCTAAACTTTAAAATTAATGAAAACTTTTAGTAAATCAATATGCTGATAAAAATTATGATCTAACAAGCGAGGCATGTTAGAATATTGTTAATGATGGTGGCTTATCTTATGTTTTTTAGCTTTAAAATTATATATATTGCGCGTTTATTGTTTTTATTGTATGTAATAGTTAAGTTTCATTTCTATTGTATGATATTTATATGCTTCATACATATTCTGAATTCACTATCCAATTCTATTCAAGGGGAAAACATCGATCCTGTGCTTCCTAAAATAGCTTTAGGTTTGAAATTTTCCAATTACTCTTTTTTATTTTAGCCCGAGAATATCCTCCTAACATTCTTTACATTCAAGCTCGATTTGGCATTTATATACATTGCTAAGTAACATTTATCCGGAAACAAAGTACTCTCTCCGTCTTACCTACCATGTCTACATTGTCATTTCTGTTCATTCCACATTTTATGTCATTTTTCTTTTTCAGAAAATAATTATACATCTTAATCTCATCTAAATTATCGTGTCTACAGTAACCGGACACGCTATGTTTGACAGAGGAAGTAATAAATATAGTGTGAAATAATCGATGATAATGTTTGCTAAGACAATCGTTCGCTACCAATTGTTCACTTGTCTTGCCTACCTATGAATATGAACATTTACTTACGTACGCCAAGATCATGTTTAATCTTATGCTGTTAAATTACGATTTTCGTATGTTCTTTATCTCAGTTTTTGCATTCTACGCCAAAAAAATATCTTAATAAGTTCTATTTGTATGACATCGAAACATTCTTGCAGTGGACTCAATTACGTCTCTAGAAATGAATCCTCCATTCGAAAAGTATCCCGGAAGTCCGTTGAGGGCTCCTCCAAGTCCACTAAGAGTGCCACCGAGTCCTTCAAGATTCTCCATGTCACCGAAGCTAAACCGTCTTGGATCTGTGCATCTAAACATGAACCAAGTTGCGCGGGCAACGCACAATTTCTCGTCGTCTCTACTGATAGGCGAAGGAGGATTCGGGACTGTCTATAAGGCTGAGCTACCAAACGGTCAGGTCGTTGCAATCAAACGAGCAAGAAGGGTAATACCTTGCGTCTTCATGTCCCACAAACATTATTTAAACAATATTCATCATAGTTTTTGTGTTTTGGATTGATTTCAGGAACATTTCGAGGCCCTACGCACCGAATTCAGAAGTGAAGTTGAACTGCTGGCAAAAATTGATCATCGTAACCTTGTCAAGCTTCTTGGTTATGTCGAAAAAGGAAATGAACGCCTGATTATAACGGATTATGTACCAAACGGTACCCTTAGAGAACACCTTGATGGTAAATGATTTTGATCTTCGAAAGCCTGCCCGGTTTTTAGCTCATATACAAAAATTTTACTTAATTTGGCCGTCGATCTTTGCAGGCCTTAAGGGAAAAATATTGGATTTCAATCAGCGGCTTGAAATCTGCATCGACATTGCGCATGGCCTGACATATCTCCATCTCTATGCTGGTAAGAAGTCGTTTTGCCCGATTGTTTATTTATCTATAGTTTTTGGGAAAGCATGTCGATAGCGGCATAAAACCAATTTTGTTTGATGATCTTTAGGAATCCTAGGTTGTGTTTGGTATTGATAATTGACAGCAGAAAACTTGTTTGTTTGAATTAGAGAAATGAAACTTTGAAAAATATATTATTTTCATTTTTCTCCCATATTAAGATAAATCGAGAAAAATGAATGTTGCATTGTATATATATATTTAATTTTTTTGTACTATTTAATTTTTTATAATTTTTAAAATTATATTATTTCAATTTTACAAAAATCATATTTAAATTATTTTTAGATGCATACGAGAGAGAATGGTCGGATGATCAGACGACCGAACATATAATAGAGAGTAAAGTATTTAGTTTTTAGGATTTTTTTTAAAAAATCACCCAAAATATTTTATGAATTCTCACTAGTTAAAACTTTCAATTAATCATTTATTTTTATTCGATCCATTCCGATAGTTGTATTTTTTATATTTTGTAACTGAATTATCTATTTTACTAAACAAGAATTAATTATCATTCTCTACTTAATGTCCATTCTTTATTGTCATTTTTCTTCAATTTGATTCTCTATACCAAACACTCCCTAAAGTAGAAATGCAGATAGATATTAGTGGTCGGAATTTAGTTTATGCTTGCGCTCGTCGTTATTGTTTGTTACGTCGAATCTGCAGAGAAGAAAATCATCCATAGAGATGTTAAATCCTCGAACATACTCTTGACGGAGAGTTTGAGGGCCAAAGTCGCGGATTTCGGGTTCGCAAGACTCGGGGACGAGTCTGATAAAACGCACGTATCGACGAAAGTAAAGGGAACCGTCGGGTACCTCGACCCCGAGTACATGAGGACGTATCAACTCACGGACAAGAGCGACGTCTATTCGTTCGGGATATTGTTAATCGAAATACTGACGGGCCGGCGACCCGTGGACTTGAAACGACATCCCGATGAGCGGGTGACGATTAAATGGGTAAAGCTTCTATTTTTTTGAGGCGTTCTGGGTTCGTTTAATCGACGAGTTTGAAATATGATCGGAAAAATTTGCAGGCTTTTCGGAAATTCAACGAAGGGAAGTACCGGGAGATGGTGGATCCGTTGATGACGGAAAACGTGGACGAAGAAATTTTGGTGAAAATGTTCGGTTTGGCGATGCAATGCGCTGCGCCGACGAGAGGCGATCGGCCGGACATGAAGTCAGTGGGCGAGCAATTGTGGGGGATTCGAATGGACTATTTGAAAAGCGGGATGCGATAGATTGCGTCGATGATGAATCGATGCTGTGCGATTGTACGGGTTGTTCGACTCTGTTCTTAATCGATCGATCAATCGGCGTCGAATCGACATGGGCATTGTCGATTTATTGCAACACACGAGGCGATTGATTGTTGTAAGAACTCTTGTGTTTGGTGGTGTGTTTGTTCCTTAGAAATTGTTTGGACAGAGGAATGGATGTTAGGCGTAACATGCTTGAAATGTTTGCTGTACTAGATCTTTCACATATGTCCAGATATTTAAATGTGCAATATAATTTCTTAAAATTTATTTATCTTTAGGTCTTTATTTATTTAATTTTTTTTATGACGTGAGCATTCACCCGAGGGTGTGCCTTCATCCAAACCTAATATTCTGCAGCCGCCTGACAGATAAGTCACATTAGGCGAAACATGTTGGCAGGTGGAACTGAAGACGTCGAGTTTGAACCCATGATCTCACTTACGGGGAATCCGCAGCGGCTATTCGACACTGAATAAATTTTCGACCGAATTTAATACCCCACAAACTAGGCCCGACAAGCCAAATTACACTAGATGGTATGCAAATTTGGAGGTGTCAGAATTTGAAAGTTATTAAAATTGACGTGTAAATAGCTATTGTTTTCTTTTTTCTAAATTTAGAAAGTGTCTTATTCAGATTATGTTCAATAATCAATTTACTTATAATTTTTGCAGAATTGCACAAAATTGCTACAAAATTTATGTGTGATTTTACGAAATTGCTACAAATTTCTTATACTTTAACCTAAAAAATAATAAATATACTCATAAATAGTTATTTTTTCTTATAAATTTTTTTATTGTTTTTTTTGGGGCTTAATATTTCTAAAATCATGAAGAAATTTGATATAATTTATATAGATTTCGTGAATTTAGCTTATAATTTTTATACAAATCAAAATTTATTTCCCATAAACGAATTGAGTATAACAATAAAAACTTAAGAGCATATATAATTTTAATAATTAAATTATACAATGTATTTCTTTAATGGGCTTTAGGGTTTTGGAAGCGTAATAAAAGTTGATAAAACCCATTATATCCATTGATAGGCCCAACTGAAGGTCCGGAAAAAAGAACACGAGAGATGCAAAGGAGGGATCAAGTCAGGCAAGGCGGAGCCGCCGGTGGCTCCGCCACTCCCGCCGCCAAGAGAGGTCGCCCGTTCGGCAGTACTATCTCCGCTTCCGCCGCCGCCGCGGCGTCGGCTGCGGCGGGTGACTCCGCCGCACCTTCCACGCTCCTCGGCCCCTCCCTCCAAGTTCACTCCGCCTTCGCCGGTCAGTTTTTGAAACCCTAATTTCCCTCTCTCTTTCAAATTTTGGATCTCTGCATTTATTGGAATGCGTAAACCTGTGGCAAGCAAACTCCATGAATAATCGATTAAACAGCTTTTCGTATCTGTGCTTGCCCTAGAAATTTGATTGGAATGAGTTGTTGAAATAGTTTAGGCTCTGGTTATCTGTTCTTCTGTAAACGATTTTGCAGATCACAATAACAAAAGAATAGTTTTAGCTCTCCAAAGTGGCCTAAAAAGTGAATTGACATGGGCATTGAATGCTCTTACACTGCTTTCATTCAAGGAGAAAGACGAGGTTCGGAAGGATGCTACTCCTCTTGCCAAGATTCCAGGGCTGCTCGATGCTCTGCTTCAAGTTGTATGTTTGCTCCTAAATTGCATTTCCTTGTGTGGATGAATTAGATTTTCTCTTAAGATTTAAGTTATTCTTCGTTAAATTAGATAGATGACTGGCGAGACATATCCCTACCGAGGATCCTCACAAAGGGGCCGCGTGTACGGCTGCTTGGTGCGAATTCGACGGTCACCGGATATGGAAATGAATATGAGAGCTTGAATTCTGGTGATTCTATTCCGCGTCCAGGGTGAGTGACAAATGTAATATCCAACTGTATTCCTTATTTATGAATTATAGTTTTGTGTGAAATCTTTGTTTGTATATGCATAAATAGCAGTGCAGGATCTGGTTCAGTGAATGATGAAATATCGACGCGAAAGTTTACTTCCAAAACTCATTCCACAGCTTGGTGGTTTGAGGAGGATGGCCTCTTTAACCTTGACGAGGAAGGGCGTGCTGAAAAGCAGCAATGTGCCGTAGCTGCATCTAATATTATTCGAAATTTCTCGTTTATGCCTGATAATGAAGTTGCAATGGGCCAAAACCGTCACTGTCTTGAAACTATGTTTCAGTGTTTGGAAGATTATGTTACAGGTTCAACATCGTCGAACTCTTTTATAATCAGTTATTTCGTTCTGCAATTATGAAATACTTCTGTTTGCATCATGTGATTTTGATATTTTGCTGATTGTAATCTTGTATTGTAGAAAGAATATGGTAAGATAAGATTTTATTGTCTGTGGATTATCAATTTGCCTCTCGAAATTCTTCTTTATTATGCATAGTTATGAAATTCTTGAATGATGACAGAGGATGAAGAACTTGTGACGAATGCACTCGAGACGATTATGAACTTAGGTCCTTTACTAGACCTTCGGATATTTAGCTCATCAAAGCCTTCACACATTAAAATAACGTGAGACTTGGACTTGCCTTTTCTTTAATTGCTTCTATTTCAACCTGAATGTTCCGTTGTTAATTAATTGCTTTGTTCCAGAGAACAACAAGCTGTGCAGGCTATCGTCGGAATGTTAGGATCTTCTGTGAGAGCTTGGCACTGTGCAGCTGCCGAATTACTTGGCCGTTTGATACTGAATCCTGAAAATGAACCTTTCCTTAGTCCGTTTACTCCACAGGTCTACTTTGTACCTCTTTTCATATCTTGCTTAAGCGCTGCTTGCACACAATTTGGTCGATTGGTAACATGATTTGTGAAAGGTGCAGATTTTCAAGCGGTTAGTCGAATTAATGAGCTTTCAAGGCAGTGAATCTCAAGCAGCGGCAGTTGGTGCACTATATAACCTTGCAGAAGTTAATATGGATTGCCGTTTGAAACTTGCGAGTGAAAGATGGTTGGGATGTTTTTAACATTATTTCTGTGGCCGTAGATTCTATCATGTTATTCCTTGTAAACTTTGTTTTTAAGCCAGGCACTTGATACGCTTTCAGGGCAATTGATCGGCTATTGAAGGTTATTAAGATGCCACATCCAGTGCCGGAGATCTGCAGGAAAGCGGCATTAATTCTGGAGAATCTTGTTCTGGAACCACAGAACAAGCCTTTGTTGTTAGCATATGAAAATGCATTCGCAGAGTTGCTTTTCTCAGAGACAAGGTATTCTGATACATTTGCTCGGATATTATATGAATTGACGTCTAGGCCAACCAACAAAGTTGCGTTGGCTCGTGGTATTTGGGGCATGTAATTCGCCGTTGCATATTTCCTTGTTTCAAATGTAGGCTCATAAATTGAACGTAAGAAAGCTTTTTATTTTGTTTGATGAGCCTTTTGTGTTTCGTCTTTATAATACTGTTGTACCTGGATGCTTTTTTACAATTATTTTTAATCTCGACTTGTCCTTGTCGAAGCTGTCCATTTTCATCTGCTTTTGCTCGTCTAAGTAATAACCGTGGACTAGTTCAAATATTTTGCGTCTTGAAGTGAATCTGCTTCGCCGTTGTCTGTGAACCAAAAAAAGAATTTCTAGTCATTTTACTTGAAGGTCCCACTTTTTCGGTATTTGTAGAAATCCTTTCTGTATATAGAAAGTTACAGAATGGCTGGCATATAGTTGCAAATTAAAATGAGTGGTACGTCTTTCTTGAATGCTATATAAGTAGGCGGACAATAATATATCATGTACATGATAGCATAGGACCATTGTTGTAGATTCGTAGGAAGTAAACACTCTTGGGAATTGGGACCATCTCATATATCTCCTGTAAGTTTTCTAGATTAGTAGTTGGATCAATCGTTTACTTCTAGCTGTTATATTCTTCGAAATACTATGACTTTATTTAGGTTAGGTGAATGTTACTATCCTAAATGAATAGAACCATTTAGTTGAAGATTTACGTCACAAACACTATGGAATTGCATCGACATTGATTCCCTGATTGTTCCTGCTGTTTTACACATTGTGCAACTCGAATATATTACGACGAGATATGGTCCCTATCAATGTTATTATCCTACATGTATAGAACCATTTCATTCATGCTTTACATCACAAAAATTCTATGAAATTGCATCGACATTTATTCCCTGATTGTTCCTGCTGTTTTACACATTCTGCAACTTGAATATATTATGACGATACATGGTCCCAATCAGATGGTAAACAATGGTTAAGGCATATTATGTAAAAGTTCTACATTGTAATTATCCACTGCCTATGCTTTTCATTGTACCTAACTGGGAGGTAGCTTGGTGGAGACTAATCGTTCCTCTTGTTCTCTCGAGAGGAAGATGAAGTTTAAGAGCCAATCGGCATTGTTTTGGGTATGTGAACTGGAAACTGGTTAATCTCATCTGTCCATACATTTTTCTCTTTAGTTGGGTCAATTGTTTTAAGTGCACGCCAGACACCGCTGTTGCACTTGAAACCAGACCCGAATGCTATTTGCCAGACACGGTTGCCTTTTTTGACGCGCCCTTTGGCCTCAGAATATGCTAATTCGTACCAGATTGAACTGCTGGAAGTGTTTCCAAACCTGTATAGAGTCATTCTTGAAGGCTCTATGTCGTGTCCGGTGAGATTCAGATTCTTCTCCAGCTCATCCAAAACTGCTCTCCCGCCTGTGTGAATGCAGAAGTTCTCAAAGGCAAGCTTGAAATCCGGAACGTGTGGTTTTATCTTCATCTTGAAAACCTTCCTTGCTAACAATGTGGCCAGGAATAGGAGCTGCTCCGACATGGGAAGTACCAAGGGTCCGAGTGTCGTGATGTGTGCCTGCAACGCCTCTCCAGCAACATTCATCAGGTCTTTGGACAGCGACATACCGAGGTACCCCTCGTCATCTTCCTCTTGAATTACACACTTGTAAGACCTGTCATCAGCACCTCTATGTGTACGTAGCGTGTGTATGAGTTCATATTTTGACCGTCTGCGATCAGAAAATCGGTTTGATAAGAGAATGGCTGCCCCTCCCATTCGGAAAAGGCAGTTTGAAAGAAGCTTTGATCTGTTTTTTCCGGCGTAGTAATTGTGTGTCATAGACTCTAAACTCATGACCAGTGCATACGTGTTGCGCTGCCCCTGTAGAAGAGCCGGAGGACATTAATTTAAGTTTAAGGAATGATATACATTTACAACAATAGTTATGTCGGTCTATTTATTTACAAGTCTCGAGTTTCTTTTGATTTTAGCTTTTTATCCTTTCGTAGATTGTGTATTTAGAGCTCTAAAAATGTTCTTAACATTGCAGTAATTTGAAGTTCGTCGAATTTACCTGCAAGAGCCTCTTTGCAAGGTCTATGGCTATCAGTCCAGCGCTGCAGCCCATGCCGCCTAAGTTGCAGCTCACGACATCCCCCCTTAGCTTGTAGCGATTGACGATCATGGCAGAAAGAGACGGGGTGGGGTTGAAAGCAGAGATATTGACTATAAGAATACCGATTTCTTTAGGATTCACTCTGGTTTTCGCAAACAGGTCGTCAATAGCTCCAATTATGACTGTCTCAGCTTCGTTCCTGGCGCAATCAAAGGGTCTTTTTGGTGGAAAATCTTTGATACCAGCGGCATAGCACTTGTCCCCGACTCCCGACCTCTCTAGAACCTTCTTTATGAAAGCTGAACTTTCTTCATTCACAACGCCGGAAATCAGTTCCAGGACCATCTCTTTGGTGCACATGAAGGACGGATCGTCAGGTTTGTAGCAAGAAAAATCCACCAGGTAAACCCTTCTCGGCTTGCTCATGAAGTAAACTGTGGCTAAAATCGACATCACAGACACACACACCACCACGGAAAGAACATTATATCTGAGATGATAGTTGCACAGCTGCAGGATATCGTAAACATGGGACATCGACACATTGGCTGCCATTGCAAGAGCAACGGATATCGCCACAACATACAGGCCATTGGAAATCAGGTAGCGACAACCAAGCCTAATGTATTTCAGCTTGATCGAGGAACGGAAATTTCTCTCATCTTCTCTGCTCACAACATGAACCACCGGAGAAGAAGCTGCTGCCGTTTGGCCGTCAGGTACCATTCTTGCTCGTCTTTCTTCTGAAAAATTTAATTTCTCGACTGCGTTGGGTGTTGGTTGTGTCTGTGCATAGGCAAGCAACATATCTGAGGTTCTTTATAGTGCCAAACCTATCTGACTTAACCGAGTTCATAGCTGCCAAAGTAATTAATTCTTGGTGACAGGAATCGGATAGGTTTGGTTTGTTAGTGAGTTATTAGCTACCAACGTATTTAATTCTTGGTGGCCACACTGGCTGACACTGTTAGAATCTGTTATTTGCATTTCTTCTGAATTGGCCTAATTTCTAGCATACAATTTAGGGAATTTTTTATGAAAGAATCACCATAGGAATTGGAGTATATGAATGAAGTAGGGTTTGGTTAATTCCATGGAGAATCTCTTGAAGTTTTTTTTTTTTCTAAATGCTTTTCATGGTAGGGGGGAGATCATGGTAATCTCATATTGTTGATGATTTTAGGATTTTTGGTTTGTTTCTTGTTGGTGAGGATTGGGTTTTTTAGGTTTGAGTTTTTTGTATAGATAATATTTGATGTGATATTTTATAAAAGAAATATGTCTATATTTATATATATCCGAAAATATAGAGTCCAAATAGTGAAAGGTGCGTAGGTTTGGATTTTTGGATTTGGATTTTTGAATAGTAAAAATTTGAAGTTTGAATAGTTGTTTGATGTGATATAAATAGATGTTGATTTGATGTTTTGAATATAAATAGATTTTAATATAATATAAAATATAAACAATAATTGTTTGATTTGATATTTTTTAAAGAAAAAAAAATTTTAATTGCAAAAATCTTTGATAAATAGAGTTTGGTTTCAATAGCTTTATTGTGCAACATTGTGATTTTCTATAAAAATATAATCTTACGAGATATTTTTTTAACTAAAATCCAAAACTATGTTGGGTGTGTTCCTTAAATGTTTGGCTTTAGGTTCGTCGATATAGTGAAATTTCGAGTTGAAGTAGTATTTAATATGATCTAAACTGGTATTTGGTGTGATGTTTTAATGAAGATTTGTTTTTTTTTTTTTTTATACGATTAAATAAATAATATGTATTTGATTCGATGGATTTCAAGAAAAAAAAAGAAAAAGTGATAGATAGTGTGAGACCATATTCAGACCTAAAAAATTAAAGGCTTTTATGTTTTAGAAGTGTTGGGATTTTAAATTGTTTTAGAAATAGTAAAAAATAATAGGAAACAGGTATTTGGTGTTATATGAATTGATGGCATATAATATAATATTTGAATTGTGAATTTGATACATTGAATATAAAAATAAAAAAATAGATTTTAGAGTTAATATTTTATGACGTAGGTAGGGATGGTAAAGGGGGCTTGTAGACTTACTGTTTAGACCTGACTCATTTAGTTGAGGTCATATTCTATTATTTGAGTATTGAGTTTGTTATGAAAATAAATTTTGAGGTTGGGTATTGGGAACCGCTTCGAATTTAAAGTCGAATTTAATAACCAGAAAATGTGTATATATATATAATAATAATTGATATTTTTCAGTGTATAAAAAAATTATAAGCCTAAATAAAAAGCCTTAATATTATACTATAATTTAAATATATAAATACTCTTCATTTCATTATTTTTGCTCGTGTACTTTTATTTTGTTCTTGTATGTATTTTTGGTATGTTCTATAAATTAGTTTAATTTGTATTTAGACTGTAAGAAAAAAAATTAATCTTTTAACCCAACATTTTTAGGTGAAATAATTTTTTATGTGTGGTATGAGAAATTGTGTAAAAAATATAAAATATGCTATTTTAGGTTGAATATTTAATTTTTTTATTTTTTGTAATGACTTTTTGACTTTTTATAAGAAGTATTTAAAGTGTTTTTACTTTTTGATTTTTGTATAAAATATTTTATGTTTTTTATTACTACCTCCGTCCCTCTTACCGTGTACGGTATTTTAGGAGGGGTGTAATCAGTAGATAATTAAGAATATATTAGTAAAAATAATTATCGTATAATATAAATAATTATAAATTAAGATTAAGATAACTAATTAGTTTAATTAAAATTTTTTAAAAAAAAATTAAAAATTTAAAATGAGATTAAAGTGTGTAATTATTTTCCAAAAAAGGAAAGTGACATGGTATGTGGGACGGACATAAACGGCAACGTGGACATGGTATATGGGACGAAGAGAGTATTATTTTTGGGGAATTGAAATTGAAAATTAGCGCTGGGAGAACAGATTGTATCTAAATAAAGAAAATTTATTAATGTTTAGGGACATTTTAAATAGGAAAGAAGTTGATTATCTGTAGAACCCAGTTTCATATCTCAATAGCTAAGTTGCCATCCCTAACAAAGTGTACTTTATTACTTAGTCATATTTGGACCATCTCTGAAAATAATTCATAATTACCATTGTTAATATTTTGGTCCGATGTCGATGAATCTGCGCACATGACCAGCATGTGTGCTAACGCGGCCCTCATGTAGATCTCCATGTCATATAACATTAGCACACGTAATGGTTACGTGCATATTTCCGTCAACAGGGGATCTAATTATGAACGCCAAATGAAATCTTTGAGAATGGTTTGGTTAATTTTGCAGTCGACACTTTAGCTGGTGTAGGATCGGTAGAAATGTTTTACTTTTTTTATACATTCTTACCCTTTTACGTGCATAGTGATCTCTTTAAGTAATTTATCGTTAGGCGAGTATTATTTATGTGTAGGCCGAAAACTAATCCCTGTTTAAGAAGCAACATAAAAGTTTATGTCAATAGTAATCTTTGAAGAATAGGTTTGGCAATTGTTTATGAATGGTAGTCGACACTATAAAGCCTTGTAAAGTTGAACCTATGTATTTGCACTAATTAGGATTTCCTTTGTCACAAGCTTTGGTTTGTTTATTTTGGTTATGTTCTTTTTTAGAAGTTTTTTTTTATTTTTTTATTTTTTTATTGTGGAATTCTCACTATTTGTGTTTGTGTTTTGGTTTTGGTTTTACGATGAAATAATTGTTAAATATGATATTTTGTACTAAAATTTGTGCTTCTTTTCGGTCAGGATTGAGTTTTGGGGGTTTTTAGTTGTTTATTTAAGTAATATATAATGTGATATTTTGTGAAAAAATATATATATTTTTAGGAAGTGCAGAGTCCTAATAGTATAAAATTTTGTAAAGGTAGGAAAGAAACACACTATTTATTTTGAAAAATATGTTTACATGAGTTGTGCATAGATTTTAATAAATATAATACTATTATATTAATTTATATTTTAAAAAAAAATTGATTGATATAAAACGTGGAAAATAAGTGAATGATGTGAGAAAAAAATTGGATAAAGTGAGTGTGTAAATTGTAGAATTATAATAGTAGCGAAATTGAATGGCAACATTGTTTGTAATTCTTAGTTTCGAAACTTAATGTAAATTATCTTTGTACTTTAAAAATTGCACAATATTTTTTTATACTTTTAAAAATATTGCATAAAATTTCCACGGTCTAAAAGATATAGATGACAAAGAAATGTAAAAAGAATTTTTATGCAATATATTTGAAATTAGAACGCCGTGCAATTTTTAAACATACGATGAGATTTAAAACTACATGAGTTAGTAGTAATTTTGCCAACTTGTAAATAAAGGTAAGATCGAATGGTATAAATTAAGAAGTATGTAAATTATTATTTTATTATTATTATTGTTATATGTAAATGAAAATTGAATGTTTTTTGTATAAAAAATTAAAAGAAAAAAAGCATATGTTACAAAATTGTGCATGGTTGAATAGATTCTTTGTAGTTTAATTCTAAGATATTTGAAGTTAATTACCTTCTTATCTAATCATAATTATTAAACATAAAACATTAATGAATTACTATTCTGTCTTGGAGTTATTGTAATACGGCATTTCCTTTGTCGGTACGATGCTTTTATTATCGGCAACAATCGCTACTTCTTTGAGAGTTGAATGATTTTTCAAAACTCTACCCGAGGCAACTAATTCCGTGGTTGTGTATCTCATGACCGCGATGTATACTCTCGGCAAATTATTTTGTTCTTGATCGATGAGGGTAGATATGAAGTTAAAAATTAGTCGAAATTGAATTTTTATTTATTTATTTTTTAATGGCTATAGAATAGGGGTTCATTTTTCGTAATTGTAGAAGTGACCACACCAATACTACCAAATAACCATATGATAAATGTGGAGACTTTTAGGGCTTTGAATTGAAATATATCCTTCACCAAATAAGAGTCCCATAGGGACGATTAGGTAAAAGCTGTTTATAATATACATACATATATATATATATATATTTGAAGTTTTTTATTAATATTTCAGCAAATTTGTATAAATTCCACCTGTTGTTTCTCGAGATTGCGTCAAATTTTTTTTTATGGTTTTCTAAACTCTGCGTTTAATCCTTTCGGCTATTCTTATTTAACAGCGTTCGACAAGCACTGTGAATATATTTCATAATTTTTATTTGTAAATCCTTGAGATTACAAATATACTAATTATTTATCGATTTAACCTCAATGAACAGTAAATATAGTAAAAAATAATTGTTTTTCTATGGTCTTTAAGAGTTTTTTTTTTTTTAATTGTTCTTTGAGATTAAATATAAGATAAAATGAAAATATTTGTAATTTTAAAGTTTAGAAATAAAAATTTTGAAATTCATTTATAGGTTGAGCGTGTGTATGTCAAACACCCTTAAATAAGGACGGTCGAAGAGTTAGACGCTGAATCTATGAAATCATGAGGGGGTTTGACGTAATTTTGAAAATATGAAAGATTTGGCACAATTTTATTAAATCACATGTGGGTTCTATGCAATTTATTCTAATATTTCATCAATCCAACTCTAAGGTTTATATTTATTTTTTGCACGCAAATTAGAGAATATTAATATTTTAATAGTAATGAGTTGATGTAATAGTGGAATGATCAAATTGTCCTTATTTTTAGATAAATGTATAATAAAATGAAGTAATATGGTAAATAAGTGTAAAAAAAGAAGAAGGTACAATTACTAAAAAGAGAAATATAAACTTTTGAATGGGATGGACAAAAATACGTAAATGTTAAAAAACGGAATATTCTTTTAAAAATATTGTATCAAATATTTATTTTTAATTTATAATATTATATTAAAATCCATTTTTTATGCATAATATTGCATCCAGTTATATTTAAATCACATTAAATATTTAGGATTTGTTCTTTCAACTAATTTTTATGCGATTCTCAATATATTATATACTTCATTCCTCCCATCTTTTGTATATGATTTATAGTAGATTAGATAATTTAGTTAAAATATAACTAATAAATAATTAAAAAATATATTCTTAAAAATAATTATTATATAATATAAATAATTATAGACTAAAATTAAGATAAGTAATTAATTTAATTAAGAGTAAAAAATTATTGATTATAAAATTTAAAATGTAATTTGTATAATTATTTTTTCTTAAAAATGAAGACAATAATGTGAAATAGACAAAAATGGAAATAGTTAAACACAAAAAAGTGAATGGAGGGAATACTATGTCACCATTTACAAAAAAGTAAAAAATAAAAAAATTAATATTCAATATAAATATTACTATTTTTTATACTATTATTTACATAATTACATGTCATCATTTACCAAAACATAAAAAATTAAAAATTAAAAATTAATATTCAATATAAATATTATTTTTTATACTATTATTTACATAATTACATATACTGCAATTTAAAACCGGAAGAACAAAGTGAAAATAAACCACAAAATTACATGAATAAACTCAGCCTACTCTTGGGAGGGCTAAATTATGATTATTGGATCCATACAAAGTCTGACAGGTTCATACGTAAAATTTTGATTTTGATTTTACTATTCTAAAAAAAAATTCTTTAAAAAATATCAAATTAAATATTTATTATATTACACTAAAATTTAATTTTACATTCAAATCATCGCATTAATACATATTTATATCACATCAACTAACTATTTCAATTCAAAATTTTAGTCAATACTGAATATATATATATATATAAATTTATTAAATTAATTTTATAGTAAAATCTAATTTATTTGCTTTGGTACATATATAATCGAACGGTCATGAATTAATCCGTAGGGCTAACGGTAACAGCAGCCGCAGTCCTTATTAGCACATAAAGTCTATTTATAGGAAAGTTAATTAATAAACTCATTTGCTACGAAATTTAAATACTATAATTTTAAATAAAAATAATTTGAATTTTTATGTGATATTTTAAATTTAAAAATAAGTTTTAATATAATGATAAATAAATAAGTAAACATTTGGTTTAATATTTTTTTTAGAAAAAAATAAAAATAATAAAACCAAAGTTAGCAAACACACTCATATTTTCTCTATATTAGACTTCTTGCGTACAACCAAAAAAATATATATTTATTTTAGTGAATAATTTTTTCGGTGCGGATTCAAATGATAACATTAAATTCAATTACTCAAACTTATATAATAAAATAATTAATTAATATAATTATACATAACTTACATATCATATCACACTTTCCATTTTCGTCCGTCACACGATAAACTTCCCAGTCTACACCCCTTTATATTTTTCTACTATTCACTCACTCCCCAATGAAAATAAACTCATAAAATATCAAATCAAATAACTATTTAAATCAATAATATAAATACAAAACACAATAAAATCACATTTTTAATATATATATATACATATATATATATATTGTCTTCGATATCCAAATGTGTGTTACATTTTTAAACACAAGTTTTAATGAGTGTGTAACTTCTATTACTTTGTCTTCTATATATATAAAAATATATATATATATAAAAAATATTATAATTTTTAACTTTGAAAATAATGAAAACAATTTTGTACAACCTAGAAAGGAAAATAGAGCACAAAATTAGATTCCATACATATTTTTCATTCAATAAATCAAATCTAAAACACTAGCAAATATATATATATATATAGACATCTTTTTCTATACCATTGATTTATATTTAATATTTCTTCCTCCTTCAGCTCTAACTCATTGTAATATTTTTTGCTTATGTAAGAGACGAAAAAGTATATAAAATAATTAATATTTTAGCCATTGTAAGTACAAAGAAAAAAAAAAAGCAATTTTATAAAAATAAAAATAATTTAATATATATATATATATATGAACTATGTTTAAATAGATACTTTTGAATTGAGTATGCGAAAAGAGTAGTTCTAATTAAAATGAATGCAGTTTGGATCGTCGCTGAGAAAACGACGATCCAACCCAATATTGGTAAAAAAGAACATGAGATGGGCCGGCCCAAAACAAATTTATCCAATCCGGCCCAATTAAGATTACTACCAAGAAAACTACCAGACCAATTACGGTTCGGACCGTCGTTGAGAAACCGACGATCCAACCCGATATTGGTAAGAAATTACATGAGATGGGCCGGCCCAATTAAGATTACTACCAAGAAAACTACCAGACCCAATTACGGTTCGGATCATCGCCGAGAAACCGACGATCCAACCCAATATTGGTAAAGAAATTACATAAGATGGGCCGGCCCAATTAAGATTACTACCAAAAAACTACCAGACCAATTACGGTTCAGACCATCGTCGAGAAACCGACGATCCAACCCGATATTGGTAAAGAAAACCCATACAATGGGCCGGCCCAAAACAAATTTATCCAATCCGGCCCAATTAAGATTACCACCAAGAAAACTACTACCAATTCAAATTCATTTTCACTGATCACATAATTAAAGTGAACTACTTAGCAACAATCAAGCAAATTAAGATAGTAGAGAGAAAGAGAGCAAAATGCATCATCATAAAGAACGAGAATTAGAGAGTTTAAGACACTCACTTTGGCATCGGCGGAGGCAGACGTCGTTCCAGTTGGGTACCTGGTGTTGGTTAACACACACGGTCCGGGCGCAGGCGTCGGCGCAGGCGTCGAGCTCCGAGACGCCACACACCGTCACGCATGTGTCGGGGATTGGATCTTTCGAGAACGTCCCGACTTTTTTCAGCATTCGGTTCGACGTGCAGACCCTTTCGCACACAAACACGTCGTCGCCGCTCTTCTCCCTGCCCCGGGCGCTTTTGATTCGTTGCTCCTCGGTGTTTCTTGCCTTGATTCTTAAGGCTTGACCGGCGACCAACACCGGAACAGCCGCCCCCAAAAGGGTCCACCATACCTCAACCATGGCTCTGCATTTGAAGTAATTGTTTCGACTGGATGAGAATAAAAACGAGCACAAAACGTTTTTTTAATATTAAATCGGCATATAGATCCATGCAAATAAGCCACTACTCAATTACTCAAAGTTGAATAAATTTCTAGTTAGAACTTAGTGGAAATGTGTATCAAATTAAGTTGAATTCGGATATGTTCGTAGCTTTAGACATTACCACTACATTAATATCTTGTTGATTAATTTTGGCTATATGTTTATTTAGAGTTTGGTTTCAATTTCTTTACTATGCAATTCTCGTAATTCTGTATATAAATGCCATATTTCTTCTTACAAAACATTACATCCAAACTACTATTTAAACAAAAAACCACAAAACAAAAACCCAATTAGACAAACATTTATATCTTGACGAATTTTGGCTCTGTTTATTTAGAGTTTCGTTTTTAGTTTCTTTACTTTGTAATTCTCGTAATTTTATATCAACAAACAATTTTCTTCCAAAACATCACATTCAAACCACTATTCAAACCAAAATACAAAACAAAACCCCACGTAAACAAACCCTTTATGTATCAAAAATGCATCAAGATACACGACAATAATGTAGTCGTAGAAGGTATAACCATGGTTCAAACGGTACAAAGCAACAAAAGCAACCCGAGTCACTAACACTTTCGCATGATTAAAAATGCAAGTTCTATTAAAAATGTGGATCTAAGTATAAACAGAACTACCCTTCAACGACTAATCGTAAAACGTTTATTGTTATAGAGAAATGCATAGTCATTGGTGCAAATAGTTAGTCGAAACCAGGACAGGAAATCACAATAGAACATAATTCAATGGTTATTTTGATATGAAAATTGATGCAACTCAGCTGAATTACAATTGGAAAACTTCTGAAACGGCAAGCACTCAATCCATGTTCCAAATCATCTCTAACGTTAATTGAATTTTTGAATAACAATTGAAAATGACAAGAAATTGCACCAAAGTTCGAAAATTTCTCACATTTTTTTCTCTTTCCACCATACAAGAACAACTTTGGAAATTCATTCGAGTTTATATTTCAATAAAAACTTTCACCAGTTCTAATCCAAACCAGAACAAAGCATCCCACAAAATGATTTCACAATCCACAGGCCATGCATTTTCTCTAATTCAAACGCTTACATATCAGCTTGCACAAAATTAAGAAATCAGAACACTAAAAACAGACGAATTAGTGAAAAAAAAGGTAAGGAAGAAATGGCTCACAGTCACAGGAGAGGCACTGCGTCGTCTTCTTCACAACAACCGTAGCTCCAACCAGCAAGCTGCCAATAGAATCTCCGATTATGTCAGATCTCCAACGAAATTAACAGAAAATCGAAACAGGAGAGATAAACCCTAACGCAGAACAATTGAGATGAAGCTTACCCCGACGGAAAGCAGTCTCAAGTTCTTCCCACCATATTGATCCTGGAATAAGAAAAAATTAAACAATTGCTCTTGAAAACCACCGGCGGCAGCAGCAGCGAGGTGAAGAAGAAGACGGAAAAGGAAGAAAGGAAAAGAATGAGGGTAAGAAGTAGAGAGAAGAAGACGATGGGTGGGTCGGCGGCTGTAGTGGTTTTAGGGTATAATGTTTTATTGTTATTATTATTGTAATAGTAAGTAAAACAATTTTATTTTATTTTTCAAAAAAATATGTACATTTTAGATTTTAAATTTTTTAATATTAACTAATTATAGTTTTAATTATTTATTAATTATATTTTTAAAATTTTTATTAATTAACTACTACTAAAATATTGTATTATAGTGGATAAAGGCACAAATAGTACAAAGGACTGGAGTATAAGTATTTTTTCAGTTTTAAATTAATAGTTTTATTTTGTAATTTTTGTTTGTTTTAAAATAATAGTAGTATTATTTTTATTTTTAATAATCAACTTCTATTTTTTTTATAAAATTATTCTCATTTTTCATAATAATTACATAAAGGAGAGTATTTTTATCTTTTAAAAATATTTTTACAACAAATATTAATATAATACTATTATACTTTATGTCCATCTCAAATATCTCTATTGTTTTACACGAATGAACGGATTGATGTGTTTCTTTTGGTTGAGTTTGATAAAAATTGGTTTTGATTTGGTATTAAAATAATATTATTTGATGAGATATTTTGTGAGATAAAAAATTGTATTTTTTTGAAAAAAAAACACATAGTCAAAATAGTAAAATTTGTGAAAATTTTTGTAAAGAAACATATTTTGTTCTCTAAAATTATATTATTATTTATTTTTAAAATTATTTGTTAAATTTATATCTGTTTTAATAAATAATTTTATTATTTTAGTTTTAAAAATAATAATCAATATACACTTTTCTTGTATTTTATTCTGTCTAAACAAAACTAATATTTTTTATTTTAATAATTTTAATCGCACTATCTATTTATAAATATTTTAAATTTAAATTTATAGTACTTATTTACATACCACAAAAGTAAATATAATAATATTCAATTTAAATAATACCATTATTATATAATATATCAAATTTTTATTTAAAATTAAAAATTAAAAATTACTTACTAATTTTAATCTGAATAATTCACTAGGATCTCAGCACAATTCAATAAAAACTTTTATTTAAAATTAAGAATTACTTACTAAATTTAATCTGAAAATATTATTACACTTTTATATTTTTTTTATTAAAAAAAAAAACAATTATTATCCACTCATATTAAAACTCATATCCTGTCAAATGATCACACATTTATTTATAATATATATAAATCACAATATAAAAAATAATATATTGTATTAAATAATTAATTTTTTTATGAGTGAATAATGTATATTTCATATTAATATGTGTTTATTTATATTTTTTAATAATATTTATAAAAAAATATTCTAATAAAAAATGTTAAATAAACCTATTGATTATGTATATGTATAGAGTTGTATTTGAGGGGCAATGGAGGCCGGGAGCAAAGAGGGACCGTGAATCCCTTTCCAAATTCAACCTAAAAGTTACAGTTGATAACATTAAATGTGAATTAATATTATTTTTATTTCCTATTTTAAATGTTACTATGTATCATTTTTATTTCCTATTTTAGGTTAGTCATTTCGATTTATTTTTTCAAATTTTTATTATTCAATCTCCAAGTTTGTATTTTTAACATTTTTATGCATCCATTAAATACCAAATCACATCATACAGAAGCTATTCTCAATTCAAATATCAAAACATAAAATGAACACCAAATCAAGAAACCAAAATGATCAACTACTTATTATTATTGAATTAGCAGAGCAGATCGGATTATAGAAATAACCACAATTCACATCCTAAGTTAAATTCATCTCCTTCCCTAACATATATATATATATATATTCAGTTACAGATCAATCCGCCATTGTTGTTGCAGAAATACCTTCAATTTTCAACACCACTGATTTCAGCTCCTCCCACTGCACCGCCTCCGCCGCGGCGCCACCATCCACCACCACCTTCATCTCCACCAGCCACACCTCCGGCGACACTTCCCAAACCTCCACCACCGCCGCCGCCATGGGCCCCTTCGCCAAAACAATTCCCCCACATTTCCTCCTATTAACTTTATACCCTAACTCCTCCCCTGCCTTCATCACTCTCTCTTCAATCTGCACTAACTGTACAGTACCACAAGTTAATCTTACAATTTTATTTCTCGATTCCGGCTCGAAGAGCGCCGACAAATCCAGCCCCGACGACATCGAGATTATGTCGAAAGCATTCGCTCTCGGAGAAACTGTCTCCTGATAGAAAATTGTATCGGAAGCCTCTTTTGGAATTGATTTCTTAAACCAGGAGAGGTTTGATAATTGGGCGAGGTTTAATCTGTGATTCGGATTCGGTTCCATCAATCTGCGGATCACGGATCGAGCAGGCTTCGACAACCATTCAGGTAAAGCGTACGATCGATTGTGCATTGCGCGGCACATTTTAGGCAAATTGCTGTCGTCGAAGGGAAGAGATCCGGTGAGGAAAACGTAGAGGAGAACGCCGCAGGACCAGGCGTCGGCCTTCTCGCCGTCGTAAGCTTTGCCGCAGATCACTTCCGGCGCGGTGTACGCAGGCGTGCCGCAGGCGGTGCGGACTAGGCCGTCAATTTTTTGATCTGAGAACGCGGAGAGTCCGAAATCAGTTATTTTGAGCGAACCGTTGCGATCGAGGAGGAGATTCTGCGGTTTGATGTCGCGGTGGACGACGCCGTTTTGGTGGCAGAAGGAGAGAGCGGAGATGACCTGCTGGAAGTATTTCCGCGCCGTCGATTCGGAGAAGCGGTGGCTCCGGTGAAGCCTGGCGAAGAGTTCTCCGCCGTGGGCGAGTTCCATGACGAGGTAGATTTTCGATTTGGTCGCCATGACTTCGTGAAGCTCGAGGACATTCGGGTGGTGACGGAGGCGGCGCATCGCGGAAACCTCCCGGAGTATAAGCGGTTCCATGGCGGCGGCGGTGGTGGCTTTGTCGATGACCTTAATTGCAACCTCCTCGTCGACGTTTTCGAGAGATCGGGCCAGATAGACCTTCGCGAAGCTTCCTCTGCCCAGGAGGCGGCCGAGTTGGTATTTTTCCAAGACGATGGAGCCGCTTCCGCCGCCGCCGGCGCTGGAGGTGCGGCGGAGGGCGGTGGCCGGAGCGGCCGCCTTGATTTGGCCCATTATAGGGCGGTGGGGGCGGCGGCAGTCTGCTGGTGCAGGGAAGTGGAGGCGTCTGGAAATGCTGTGGACTGCGTGAGGGCTTTTTATTGAGAAATGGAGAGGGGTATTGTTGTCATTTCGCAGCTGCAGAAATATCAGGAGCGTTTGTTACACTTTTAAAAATGCTTTTCGGAATATACTCCCTATTTTTTTGTTTTATTTTTAAATGGTAAATTAAAAATAATAGTAAATTACTATTATTTTTATTAATAAGTAAAAATATATGAAACATACATATTATTTATAGATGTCCGAAATAGCAAAATATATTTATTGTCAACGCATCATGCTGACGTAGGATACCTATTCAAATATTTCCTAACTTACTCATAAATGGCATCAGAAGCGCATCACATTATGGCGGATAACGTTTTTCGTAATTTAATAAATCTTCTCAATCGGCGAAATATTTTGAGGAGTTAAATAAACATAATTTTGGATATTCCCAAATAGGACAATATTTCGAACTGCCCGCCAGAGAATGTCGATTCTAACGAACAATTTATGAAAAGAAATGGCGAATCCAAAATTTCAAATGAGTATTTAAAAATAGCTCAAATTCGTTCTTTAAAAAAAATACCGTCACCGACGCCGCCATTATATATTTTTTTTGTCGACATTCAACCGTATTACTGGCTAAAATTTATTTCTTCTTATTTATTTCCTCAATATATATAATATGCATATATATTTTATTTATTCATAAAAAACTAATAATTAAACATAAAATATTATTTTTTATATTACCAGTATAATTCTCCGTATATAATGAAAAACACTTACACCTAAAAATACAAAGTGAACAAATTCAATATTTTATATATATATATATAAGTAAGTATTGAAAGTAGTATTAACAAGTAAAATTGATCACATATACGTATTGTCTTAAATCAGTGGTAATTTCTTCAAATAGTATTGATAAAAAATATAAATAACACATGCTGTGTAAAATAATATTACATGATATTTGTTTATATTAAAAATGTGTTCTCTATAAAAATATTATAAAAAATAATATTCTTTAATTTTTTTCCAATTTTATTGTGATGTGCTGTGTATAATATATTATATATTGCATTTTTTAAATATTTTTGAAGAAATTACGTACGATGAAAACACAAGTGAATGCATTTTTTTTTTAATACCCTCCACCCCAATATGTTGTTATATTTCCTTTTGATATCTATTTTTTTGAGAGGTATAATCTTAATATATATTCTTCCGTCTCAATACAATAGACTTGTTTATCATTTTTCTTTGTTCCAAAACAATATTCTTATTTCCATAAATAATCATATCACCATAAAATTATCTCCACTTTTTTATTTTTATTACACAATTGCCACTATTTTTTAAGCTAATACACTTATAAGGGCAAAAAAGTCTTTTATCCATATAATATCAATATTCCTTAAATCTCGTGTCTAATCCAATTAAGACTATATTTATAGGATGGATGAAGTTTTGTTTTTTTTTTTTTTTTTTGAGCACTTTGTTCCTATAATTTATTCGAAATGATTTTATAAATGGTATTTATAAAAAAATAAAATAAAGTATAAATAAAGTAAAATTGCAAAAGTTAGAAATCCTAGCAAATACTCCATATTGATAGGAAGGAAATAATTATTTTATTTTATTTAATAAATGCACATGTGCAAATAAATAAATAAATATTATATTATATATCTAATATATATATATATATATAAGTACAAATTTGCAACTACCAATAGGTGCATGCTCTAATAGCTAAACACTTGGCTATTTATTTCTTTAAATATTTATTTGATGATGATTAAGCACAAATATAACCACTAACAAATAATAATAATAATAATAATAATAATAATAATAATAATAATAATAATAATAATAATAATAATTAAAAACACAAAACATGAGCTGTGACATCATATATTCTTATAGATGTTATTTTCCAAGCTAACATCTGTCCAATTGTATTTGTATTATACAAGTAACACAATATTGTATATTTTTATAAATTAAAATAAAGAATAAGACATGTTAGATCTGTTGTACGAAAATATAGAATATTCAAGGGAACTGCCCATTTGTCCCAAATTCAAATTCAAATAAATAATTATTATAAATAAATAAATAAATAAATAGACTTACACGACTCTATACGTATTTCAATTCGAATCTTGAACTTCTTTGTTCAACGACACATTTGACGCTACGTTGGGTTTGGTTGTTTGTTTGTTATTTAATTTCAAATTAAACTATCACTATTCATATCAGACCATTAAAAAATAATAAAACTATGGAATACTTTTTTTAGCAAAATATTACGTCAAAATAGTTAAACAAAAAAACAAAAATAAATAAATGAATTGTTTGTAGGTTTTTGCCCTATATTTTTACTATGCATAAAAAGACCTTTTTTTTTTTTTTTTATAAAACATTAGATGAAATACTTATTTTTTATATTATATTAATATTAATTTTACATTCAAAATATTACATTATCAATACATATTTATATCGCATTAAAAAAACATTTCAATTTAAAAATCTATTATTCAAAGCTCAAATCACACCCACGAGTTTGTTTGACTGTGATTTAAAATTAATTTAAAATAAAGTATTAATTTTAATTTTTATTTAAATAATATTTTAATTTGATATTTTATGAAATGAAATACTCCCTTCTTCCCAAAAACAATAGTCTCACTTTATCATTTTTGTCCCTCTTAAGTCTCATTTTTTTTTGGTAATTAGCTTCCTAATTTTACTCCACTGTCAATATAATACTATTGTTTTGAAATAGAAGAAGTAATATATTTTATTTAAAACTGTACGTGATGAATAGTGTTAGATTTTAATTTAAAATCACAACGAAACTATTAAATAAAAATTCAAAACTAACACTACATTGTAAATCAATTTCAAACTAAAATCAAACAAATTTGATTCTATGTAATTCAATATATTTTGTCAAGTTTAATATAGGATAAATTACATAAAGCATAATACTTTTCCTTCATATTTATTATAGTATTTTAAATTTCTAGCAAAATAATTGTTAGATATATTTTCTATGATTTTATAAACATTTGTACTGTTTCATAGTAAAAAACTGAAAATATTGTAATAATAGACTCTCATAGTATTCTATTTATTACATTAAACCTTCTTTTAACATATATTTATTATGTAAATAATTTTATATTACATTGAAATAAAATAGTAATATAATCTTTTGTTAATAAAAATAAAATAAACTATATCAAAGATGTATTTCCCCAATCTCGTTTAGAAGTTATATCATAGGCCGAAGGGGTGTTTTTATTTTGCATTTTTAATTTGAAACATTTTTTTTATATTAGATGTAGTAAAAAAAGCAATAATGTATAAAAATAATATTTTTTATATTGATTTTTTCGCTCCAAAAAATCAAATCAAAAATTTTATTTTTTATATTATACTAAAAATTAATTTTACATTCAAAATATTACATCAATATCAATATCTATTTATATCTACTCAAATTCAAACTTTTACTATTCAAATCCCAAAACCCCCCAAACAAACACACCTAATTTTTAGCCATTGTAATGGAATTTATATTAATTTTATGTAATACTGGTAAATAAAATACGAAATGCTATATACTCTCAGTCGTGTGTCAATATATAATTTTAACATTTTGGTTGTCCAGATTTAATATTCTCTCCCTCCCATAACAACGTATTCATTTTTTTTTAGTCCGTCCCATAACAAAGTATCTATTTCATTTTTTTAGTAACTGTACTGTCTACCTATCATTACAAATATCCTTACAACTTACAATATATTACATAGATGTCATTACCTTTATATCACACGTACTAATAAGATTATTTTAATTATTTCTACTTTATTCTTACATCTCAATATAATACTAATATTTTTAAAATTACGTACAAAAAACAAATAGATATCTAGTTATAAGACGAACAAAGTATAAAAAAATGTGAACCCTACACAAGTAATAAAATACCCTACTTTCGTCCGAAATTACTATAATGCCCCTCTTTTATTTTTAATAAAAGAGCGAGAGTCCTTGTTATTGTAAGGATATTTTTATCCATAATTTTATAGTACTAAAAATACTATATGCGAAAGAAAAAACAAAAAAAAAGTGATACATTTATATAGAACAGTGCAGCACCTTTATTAAATAAATATTCAAAACTACTGGTTTGTTTCTTTTTCAAACCATTCTATTTTGGATTTATTTAAAAATTTCAATGATATCTCCATAGGCCATAGAAATTATTATGTTCACTATCAAAGAGAAATTAGATTTGCAAATCACTATCTTCTTCATAGTTAATTATGCAATTAAAAATTAACAAAAGTTCTATTATGTTCACTATCAAAGGGGTATTAGATTTGCAAATCACTATCTTCTTCTTCATAGTTAATTATGCAATTAAAAAATTAACTAAGAACTATGCCTAACTTGTGTTCAACGCCTAAGTCTTCTTGTCGAATTATTCTATGCAACCTTAAATAACGACAATGTTAAATAGACAGCTAAAATCTTCAGTTATGAAAAACAAATTGAAACTTTCAGAAATTTAAAAATACTCAGAGAAGAACAAGCCATGGCTGACCTGACCTGACCTGACCTCAACATTTGCTAACTGCAGTACTTCTTGAACCATACCCCAATGTTAAGGAAGCTTTCGAAGTCTGACTGCGGCCTGAACAGAAAACACGTATCGTGTAATGACATTTGGTTATGTAAGAATTGTTTGCGGACATAATGTCATGAGGCTACCTCTCGATGGCGTGTACATCGTTAGGGAATACAATCACCTTAGTCTCGACTCCTTTCTCCTTTAGCGCGCGTGCATACTAAAAGACCAGAAAATTTAAGGTGGAATGAATCTGGATAATTTACACAAGGTTATATATATATATATACATATATATAATGGAGCACACATTCTTACTTGTATTCCATTGGATACCGGCACACGAAGGTCCTGGGCGCCGAGGAGGAAGAGTGTCGGAGTTTTAACCTTAAAAAGTAGAAAAAATTAATTCGGTAAAACTAAATGGAAGTAATGGGAGGTGCAAAGTGATAAAGTTAATCGATGGAAACCTTGGAGATGTGAGAAACGGGAGACTTGCTGTAGAGAAGAGACAATTGTTCGGCTGAAGGGGAATCTGTGAACATGGATTTTCCATCATTTCCATATGCCTCGAAGAAACACCAGTCGGGAATGTCTGATGTGCCAACCATTAGAGCAATGTTGCACACTGGATTTCTAGCTGCCGCAGCAGCGAATTTGTCTGGAGCCTGAAGAGATGAATTCAAATTTAACAGAATCGGGAATTTAGAAAAAAAAATTGAACTAGTCGAAGAAAATTAAGCACAACCAACCTGACCAATAAGGTGTGTCGTCAAAAAACCACCGTGGGAACCACCGAGCACAGCTATTTTAGATGGATCCGCAAGTCCTTTGTCAATGGAGTGGTCTATTGCAGTTAGAACGTCGTTGACATCCTACATAAGCGTAAAGGGGAAAATCTTACACATGATCCGAATGAAGAAGTTTGTGTTTAGTTAACGGAAATATACCTGTGACCCGATTTTCCCTGGTAGGGACTGCAAAGCTTCCTCGCCAAATCCTAGAGAACCTCTGAAAATTTTTGTTGAGTTGGAGATAAATAAAGCATCTGATGCCGAAAAATGGAAAAGGGACGTTAATTTTCACCTATAATTCACAATGAGCAAGCTGTAGCCGAGTGAAGCCAGGAAAGCAGAGGACTTTGAGAAGCTTGATAATGAGACCGAATGAGGACCTCCATGAAGGATTACGATTAATGGATCGCGTGAGTCGGACTTCTTTGACTTGGATGATACGTATATAGCTTCAATCGGTTTGGTTGCACCTATTACAAGTTACTTGTTAAAGCGATAACTAATTGGTTTGCTAGTCAGCTCTCTTGCATCAGAAACAGAAACATTCGATTATGAAATTTTTTTTATCACAAACCTTTTGGCAGGTTCTCAGAGGCATCCTTGACAGGGATCTTCATGATATCAAATTGAAGAGATGCCAACGATGATGAGACCTGCGGGAATATGGGAGTGCGTAGCTTTATTAAACAATCTTGACAAAATAGAGTTGCTAGACAGCAAAAAGTTACCTGCTCGGAGCATTTGGTTGTGGGGGTCACGGCGTCCATCCAGCTCCATGTATTTCCAATGAGACGACCGTATTTGATTTCAGGAATATCAATTGGACTACTGGACACTTCAACCACCGCAAAAACCATTTGAGAAAAACTAAAACATATTTACATGGCATAACTAATTAAAACAGCCATCACCCTTCAAAATATGTGTATATATATATATATTCACCGTACCGGCAATAATATGATCTCCATCAAGTCCGAGGATGTCCCAAGAAGAATTTGATGGATTTGGACTGATCCGGGAGACTTGTCTGCTGTAAATTAAAAAAGGGTACTGCCTTCACTACAATGACAAGGAATTTATCATCCTGACGACTGATCAGTCCTTGATTTACCTGAATACATCGACTGTTAGAATTGCCAAAGTACTGCCCCAAATAGAAGATAAAACCATTGTATGTCCATCAGAGAGCCAGGGTCGAGTAAGAAACTTAGAAGGGTAGAGTCCTGGGAAGCCACCATCTTCAGGACACATCACAACAGGAACCTAGGAGACAATAAGGCGAAGAACGGCATAAAAGAGTCGGAAAGCCGCAAATACACTTTCCAACACATTTTTGTTTCCAGTTGAAGATTGTGGATGCATTATCAACTTACATATAAGTTTAATTTTGCTGTAGTATGTTAAAAGATCAAGTAGTTCTTTAGGAACCAAGAACAATGTTCAGAACCTTAAATAAGGCTAGATTTGCAGTGGCATCGGAGAAAATTCTGGCATGAGTATAATATATTTCAATTCCAATGACATTTCTCTAGTCGCATACTCTGGATCAAGAAATTCAAATTTTGAAATTTTCTTAATGCAAGATTTATCAATGATAATATTACAATGTAAGACTTTACCGCATGAGAATATACAGAAATGAAAAATATCAAATGCAGCTAACCAACATTTTAAAACTGTAATGAAAAGGGGTATACCACATCAATAATCTTCAAGGTTGGACCCAATTTTCCACCAGAGGGCCACTCAATCTTGTGAAGTGAATCTGTTGCTGAATGTGCCCCAGAGTCAACAGAACTTTTTGAAGATAGAAACACGAGGAATTTCCCATCTGGGCTGAAGATAGAAACATCAAATATTTTGAAGGGACCTCATCAGAAGGAAGATGAAAGAAAATTAAGGATCAACACAAGATACATGCTGAGTAAAGCCTATATGACCCAATGGATAGGTAAATTCGTATCATATCGACTGTTTTCATACCTGAAACGGGGAAAGAAGGCACTACTAATGTTTTGGGTCAGATGAACAATATGTGAGTCTTCAGCTGCATCAGATCTATCAAGAGAATGGTAAAGCCTAAATTGTCATCATATATTAATCCCCTAAAAACAGCTCCATGAAATGAAAAAGGAAGTTGCATATTGCGTTCTAGCATACCCGGTTGCACTGGTTTCCAATTTCGAAGGAGCTTTGACAGCATACAAGGCACATGGCCTATTATAGCAATATTTGATACCCAACTTCCTCTTATTGGAGGCCCATCCAACAAAGACCAGATACTGCTGCCCGTCAATTGGTGGAGCCCACACAACTTGCCCAACACTCAGTTCCCTTCCCACTCCCACAACAGGTGCAACCTCCCCACTGAAGGTTTGAGTGTTTTAGGACTTTATTTGTAAAGCAGAAGACTCATGAAGCATTATAGAAATACACGACATTTTGTACCTGGTAATGTCAATAACAAAAAGAGATGGAAGCTTTTTCCCAGCATAAGTTTCTCCCCAGTCCTCCTCCCAGTCGCCTTGACCCTTCCAGCTGCCGGAGTCCTTATCTGTAGTCCCCTCTTTTTTGTAGCCAAATATATTAAATGTGGGTTTAGGAGGATCAGGTTCCTCAGCAACATAAGCTACGCATGTTTCATCTTCATTCCATGAAATACCCTCAAACCTGACACCAGAAGCAATGCCAAAATAGTTTTCACTTTATTTGAATGAAGCACAACAGTGTAGGTGAGAAGATGAGTGCACACAACAAATTATTCAATATGCTGAGCAACATTTTAAGGTCAGTATCAGCTTATTCGAACATGCAATTTAATTCATGGAACCATTGATTTGAACGGATTTAGTAAGTGCCTGCTTAAGCTGAAAAGGATGAAAATTTCATTGCTTGGCATCAAGATTGTACAAAGAGGATATGACATATCGGCAAGTAATTTAGATAACTTCAACTAGTATAGGATTCTAAGATATGATTTAACTGCTTTATAAAACATTATTTAGAATGGCCAGAATTTAACATTAGGGTCATTTAATATTCATTTTTTATCTTTTACTTCTATTCAACACGAAATTTTACAAAAGAGGCCAAGGAAGTTCATGCACATAATTTAATGAAGCATGTTTACCATCCATCTGTATATACCGAACCATGGATAGATCGGGCAATAGAAAACTCCCTCTCAACTTCAGATGGACCCCATATTTCAAAGTGGGTAGGAGATTCACCATCCGGATTTCGAATAACAAGGAGCTTTGATCCTGATGGAGAAGGAACCATAGCGGAAACACCATTCATCTCAATAGGGAATGGATTCCAATGAAAACTTACAGAACTGTCACTCTTATGGAAAATATGACTTGATAAGAAGTATTTCCTCCTCTTGTTGGACAAAATATTTGGTTGTCCGATTAAAAACATAGCACGAGAAACTTCTGTGAAATAAACAACAAAAAAAAAAATGGTTAAATGAATTTGAATAAAACAAAATTTAACAACAATGCAGAAGTAAAAGGAGCCAATGATACCACTATCGTGATTGAAAATCCATGCTTTATCAATGGTAGGGATAGCTGTGAACTCTTTGAGCAACTTCGACACTGAAACATATTCTTCTCGAATGGAAACATCCAAATCCACTGCCTTTTGTTTATTGCTGCTATCCTCAACACATTCCATGGCTGATCGAAGTGACCAAATTCTTCTTCAAACAATACACATCAATGAAATGATTAACAACTATATTGACACGCAATTAGTTAATAGAACAATACAGTGTATATCTATACAGAAGAACACTCTAAATCAACATAACATACACAGTAATCAAAACAGTGGTGAAAAACCACCAAAACCCCAAACGAAATGCAAGGTAAGTAAAATTCGAACCCTAAACAACAATGATCCACACATAAATCAAATACAAACCAAATAAAAAGCAGCAAATAGAGTCAACGGAATATCCACAGCTTATAATAGCAAAATCATAAAACAGCAGAAGAGAAATTCAACAAAATGCGGTGGAGAGAATACCTGGCCGATAAATTGGTGCGTCTGAACGAAACAATGGATTTTGTGTGGGAATAGGCGGAGAAGGGAAGGAAGTGGGGAGGAAATTGGGTTGGCAAAGCTAAAGCTCCTCCGGTGAAGTGGAAGGTGCTGATGAGATTCGACATTACTGATTGAACCTATCTATATCCATTACCATTACCGTTAGCCCATTCACCTCGACCCAAATTTGTTAGTTTTATTTTACTTTTTTTTTTAACCCCGACATCGAACCGGCTGTTGGAACCGCCGGTTTCAACGAACCGAAACTGAAACCAATTTCCACGGTTCGGTCGATTTCTCTTTTCCGTTTAGAACCGGCGGTTTTTTTCTTTTTTTTTTGAAATAAAATATTAACTGGTGTATGGTGAGGGCGGCGGCGGCTGTGACGTGGAATGAATTGATAATTGATTAGTATATTAGGCAAAGACAATCATTATTACTGACAATGAATTGTTATTATATTTAATTTTATAATATTTTTATAATTCATAAAAAAATTTATTTTACAAAAGTATATATTTTATTAATTTAAAGTTTTAATTATATAAATATACATTTTTCTCTCGATCCCACAATAAGGATATTATTTTTTATTTTTATCCGTTTAAAAAAAATTATTATTTCATAATTTAATAATTGTACTACTTATCTAACATAATAAATACTCTTATAACTTTTAATATATTACACAAATGTCATTACTTTTTTATCACACATTCTAATAGGGACAATTTTATCTTTTTTATTGTAAAATAATATAATACTAATATTCAAAAATTTACATACAAAAAATAAATGTTACTCTTTTTGCGCGGGAACGGAAGTAGTATATGATTTTATTAAACAAATCAATATTTTAAAAAATAATTTAATTTATTTTATAACATATAATTATAAATTACTACATAATTAATTAGTATAAAATTATATTAAAAAATAAAAGAATATATGTATATTATATTTAAATATAGAAATAAAAATTAATTAAAAAATTGAAATGAATTTGTTAATATAAAATTGTGAATATATAAAAAGAAGAATATCTCAACTGATACGACCTAAAGTGATGGGAAAGATCAAAGGCAATGGAAATACCAAATAGATGTACATGAACATGATGCTCTAATTGTGTAAGGGTGTCTTTGTTTGGGCGATTGGATTTTAAATATATTATTCATCTATTTTTTTTCTCTTTAGAAAATATCAAATCAAATATTTATTTTTTATTTTTTATATTATACTAAAATTAATTTTACATTCAAAATATTACATCAACACCTATATATATCGCATCATACAACTATTCAAATTCAAAATTTTTACTATTCAAATCCCATACACACCCTAAATGTATTTGATTAGGGCAACATTTTTATTTTATAATAATAATAATATATTTATAATTAAAAAATTTATATATTACTATTAATTTTTTTTAAAATAAAATTGATATTTATATAATAAAAATAAACAAGTATTAATAATATTGAAAAATAATAATACTACTCCCTCCGTCCCGGTCAAGATAGCCATTTTGCTTAAGAATACGGTATTTTATGTAGTGTAGATTAGTAAGTTATTAATAATAAGTTATGATATTATTTTATTATTTTTATATGAGTAGTGTTGTTGGCATTTATATATTTTTTTAGAATTATATATCAATAAAATATATACAATATGAATATCATTTTATAGAGAATAAAATTTTATATAATAAAAATAAATAAAAAATTTATTTATTTATTTATAATTAAGTTAAACTAATTTTATTAAAAAAAATTTAAATAGATAAAAATATTTATTTATGGAGAAGAGAGATAGAAATAAAGGAGTTTTGAATGATCTACGTGTAACAAGTTAGAAATTTAATTAAATTAATTTATATTTGTGAAATATGTTTAAGAGTAATAAATTTATTAAAAATAGAAATGAGTCATCTTTAAAAAAAAAAAAAGAAATGAGTAATAAATATATTATTTTTTTATATATTTAATGTTATAATTTTTTATTATATAATATATCAATATTTTTATAATTTAATTTTATTAATATTTGATTTCAAAATTTAATTTTATTACGTACTAAATCTATTATTTTAATTACTTTTATATTTTAACAATCTAATTAATTACTTATTCTTATATAATGAACAAAAGGCAAATATTTATAAATAAAAATAAAGATAAAAATGAAATTAATTATTTTTTAAATAAAATTTTAATTTAGAAAAATAAAAAATAAAAAATATTAAAAATAATATATATATAAACCAACAATTTAAATCGTAAACGAGAATTTTTAAATCGAAACTAACGGTCTATAAATTTTAATCAAAACCATCAAATCATAAATAAAATTATTATTTTAAAAATTGGATTTCAATTTAATATTTTAACAAATCGTGACCGAGAGTTTAAACAAGTTTATCCCCTCATAATCACCAACTTTAGGTGATGCTATTTTTTTTTTATTTTAGTTTAAGTTATTATTATTTTCTCAATTTGGACTCATTGTGTCATATGTTGTCCGGGCAAGAATAGACATTTAAAAGTGATGGATAAAAAATAAAATAGGTTATCATGAAAATTTTATTAAAAAACTAATTTAAAATAATAGGATAAATATAAAATAATAATAAATTGATTATTATTGTTTTCAAATTAAAAATAAAAATAAAATTATAAATTAATTAAGTATAAATTTAAATAGGTAAAAAAAAAAATAGCATGATCATCTCAAATGAAAAAATTATTCCATCTATCCGTCTCTAAAGTTTCATTTTTCATCATTTTACTTAACATTAAAAATATTTTTATATTTATATAGTTTTTGTACAAATATCTTTATATTAGTATTATAAGACACTAATTGAAGTTTTTTTTGCAATTTTTTCTTAATTTGTACTATATTTTAATATAATAATTAATATTTAAAAAATCACAAAAAAATAAAAGATATTTGTAATTGTAATTATATTTAATATAAATGGTTGATTTGTCTCTATATATATGTGCTCCGTAGAGTGAATATTTAGACCATCCGTAATGAAGATACCCGCTTTTTGGTATCTCCATTACTTTTTTTTATCCACGTCATTTTCTCTCTCTGTCACGTAAGCAGAGATACTCTCTTCTATTTTATATTCACAACCAAGATACTCATTCTAATTTTTTAATAATTTTTATTTTCATATTATATATATATTATTTTTAAATTTTAATTTTAATTTGTAATATTAATTATTTATTAAATTAAATATAGTTTTAAATTAAATTGTCATATGTTCCAATTAAATTAGTACGCATGGCACTAGAATCACGTCTTCCCAACATCTCTGCAGAGATGCTCTTATGCAACATTGCAACATTGCTTGAGCACAAAAGTTAAAAATATGATAATTTTGATGTTTGGATTTTGAGTTGGGATTTGAATAGTAAAAATTTTGAATTTGAATTGTTGTATGATGTGATATAAATAGGTGTTGATGCGATGCTTTGAATGTAAAATCAATTTTTAGTATAATATAAAAAATGAAAAATAGGTGTTTAATTTGATATTTTTTTGGGAAAAATAGAATGAATAGTGTATTTAAAATTCAATCCCCCCAGAAAAACACACTTTATTAGAGTATTCATATCATGAGTTTCTCTTCACTTTCATTTCATTATTTTTTCTTCCACCTCAACAAAAAATTACTTCATATATATTTATATTAATATCAATATAATTTATTTCAAAAATAAATTTGAATTAAAATATATAAATATATATTATAGTGAATAGAAGTTTATACTCAATTCGTTTTAAAACTATAGCCTTAGTTGTGGTTGGACACGAAATTTTGATAAATATTAATATTACATTGGTAATTGATAAGAAATATAGGTAAAAATTACCCGTCCCGGTTTAATCGACCTATTTTATTAGTGACACAATATTTAAGGTAATAATATTTAATTAATTAATACTAGTATAATAAATTAGGATATTATTTTATTATTTTTATATAATTAATAATATTGATAATTTTAAAATAAATTTAATATATATAATTAAAAAAAATTAGAATATGTATTTAAATATTTTGAAAAAATATATCGAAAAAAAAATATATGCAATATGAATAAAATTTTGAATAATACAAGTTTTTTTTAAAAATGGACAAAAAAAAGCAAAAGAATTGAATTGGGACATGAAATTTGAGACAAAATTAACAACAAAATTGTTCTTTTCTAATATTTTTTAAATGTTGTGACGGAAATAACAGTAAATTTATTATTTTATAATGTTTCAACATTGCAACAGAATTAGCAATAGATTAATTTAATTGCAATATTACAATGGAATTTCATCACAATGTTTTCGTCGCCGATTGACACTATGCTTTAAACTTTTCTTTTAAATATTATATCATATGGGATTCACTCAAAATCTATTCGATTTTTTTAAATTTTATCTTTTTCTTTTATAAACAAACTCCATATTTATTTATAAAATTAATTTATTTTAATTATTTACAAATATTTATACATTTTTATTTATTTGTATTATATAAAATTTTATTATTTATAGATATTGATATTATATTTATTTTATTAAAATTCAGTCGTTACAATAATTAAATACACATTTTATTTTTTTTAATATTATATATATATTATATTATAAATTAAATGCTACCTCAGTTTACCTACAATGTTGACATTTGTTTTTTACAAATAAAAAAAAAAGACAAAAATATTTTTTATAATACAAATATAATGATATTTGTATAAATAATTATATAATTATAAAAATATTTTTAATTTAAATATAAAAAAATAAAAAATAAATATAAATTTATTAAGTGTTTGAATAGAATATTTATTAAATAATTTATTTTCAATTCAACTTTCAACTAAAAAAATCAACCGCATCAAAGCCACGCTAATATTTATATTACACATCTTCCTGTTAATATATAGTTTTAGTTAGCACAATATTTATTATAGGTATATTTTTATATTTATTAATTAAGACTAACCAACACAAAACTAATTCTATTAATTAACCTAATCAAATTGAATATTTAAATATTAAATATACTCTTTCCGTTTCAATACATAGTCATGTTTACTATTTTTGTTTGTTACAAAGCAATAGTCTAGTTTTTATAAATAATCATATCATTATAAAATTATGTCTACTTTTTCATTATTATTACACAATTACCACTACTTTTTACACTAATATATTCATAATATTTTGATCTATTACTAATATAATATTAATATTTTTTAAATTATGTGTCAAATACATCTCAAACTATAAATATAGGGGCGGAGGGAGTTGTATTTATTACGATGATGTAATTTCAACACAGGTTCGTTTGTCGTACGTTTCGTCTCAGCAGTGCAGTCAAGGTCAATCCACACCGTTAAAAGGCCCCACACGTAAACGAACGGTACAGATTGCTCCGTCGTCTCCACCAGACAACCCTCGCAATACGCCAATGACTTATTTTATGTATTTACTTTTAATGTCCTAAGTTTCTCCCAGACGGTGACGTTTTGTAACTCACAACCAAATAAAAATGCGACACGTCGCTATTCCCATAACTAAAATATAATAATTTTTAATGTTCGTTACGGCACTCATATCACATCAGAGGAAGAAAAGAAACAGTGGAATAATCTCCACCGTTGATCGATCAGATCCAACGGTCGAAGTTAAAGAAATTAACAATTACCAGATAATGCTTGACCTGGAAAAATTTGTCTTGACTTGGACAGCAAATGTTTATTTTATTTTAATTTTTTTGTTTGTTTGTTTATATATATATATATATATGATAATGATGAATTTTTGGAATCAAATTTCAGACAGAAATGGAACAAAAAAATGGTGAAAATTTTCGATTGTTCTGCTTCTTCTGGGTCTTCTTCTTCGCGTACACTACTACCCTCGATGTCCCGAAGGTACAAGCCCAGCCAAGCACGGTAGGGTACAACTGCACAGCAGCGAACCAGAGTTCATACCCTTGCGAGACGTACGTCTTCTACAGAGCAACCAGTCCAAATTTCCTCGACTTAGCTTCCGTCGGCGACCTTTTCTCCGTCAGCCGTCTGATGATCGCCGATCCGAGCAACATCACTTCTCCGGCGTCGCCGCTGCTTCCTAACCAGTCGCTGTTCGTTCCGATCAAGTGCGGCTGCAATCGAGTGAGCAGCAACCTCACAATTTCGTATGCAGCCCTAAATCACACGATCAAGAGCGGCGACACGTTCTACCGCCTCTCGACGGAGAGTTTCGGGAATCTGACGACTTTCCAGTCCGTCGAGGTCGTGAATCCGAGCTTCGTCCCCACGCAGCTCGAGCCTGGAGATGTAATCACGTTTCCGATCTTCTGCCGGTGCCCTAATTCGACGCAATTGGGGAATCAGGTTAATTTCGTAATCACCTACGTTTTTCAGAATTCCGATAACATAAGCTCAATCGCCTCCATGTTTGGGACTACAACACAGTCCATAATCGCTGCTAATGAGAACACCACATTCAGTCCCATGGATACAGTGTTCGTTCCAGTTTCCAAACTTCCAAATCTCACCCAGCCTGTAGTTCCCCCAATTGCTCCTGAGAAAATCGAGAGGAAAGGTGCAATCATAGGGTTAGGGATTGGATTAGGAATCTGTGGATTGCTGCTAGCCCTAGTTTCCGGAGCCTGGATTTACAGAGAAAGCTCAATGAAGAAGAAAGGGAAGAATTACAGGGATGAAGAGAAGCATCATGGTCATCATCAACTGCAAAAGGGGGACAGCAGATTGATGAAGCCAGAGGAGGTGAGTTTGATGGCAGATGTTTCAGGGTGTTTAGATAAGTATAGAGTGTTCGGAACCGACGAATTGAGGGAAGCCACAGATGGCTTTGATGAGAGATGGATAATTCAAGGATCTGTATACAAAGGTTGCATCGACGACGAATGGTTTGCCATCAAGAAGATGAAGTGGAATGCCTATGAGGAGCTCAAGATCTTGCAGAAGGTAAAAAAATTTACAGTTTCTTGACAATCATATGTATTTTTTGAATCAAATTTGGTGAATTATTGATGACACTATGAACCCTTTGAATCTCTAAAAATCATTTCTGAGTAATTCTTAGCTCTTATGTCATGAAAATTGTTCGATAGCTGCCGTGCTCCTTACACTTCATTTAATTTCATTACACTTGCTATATATAAATATACATATATACATATATGTGGAAGGTTTATGACGCTGATTTGAAAAAATCAATATTGTGTTGATTTTTCAAGTCAGAATCCATAAAGTACAAAATCAGCACTAATCTTTATTAAAAACAACGGCGTGCTATTTGCAATAATGACATGTGTTGTTTATTTATAATTACACCTGTGGCTATACATGTATATGTCATGTGCTAAAATAAACTGATGATACATGTGTTGTATGAAACTATATCATATGTTGATAGTTCATGTGTTGTGTTTGTATTTACCGTGTGCTATTTGCTTAATTATCTGGATGCTGTTCAGCACAGTGCTGAATCTCATCCAGCACTGTAGCCACCGCCATATATATATATATACATGTGTATGTATGTGTATATTAATGAAGTAAAATGAAGCTCGAGCTTATCTTACGCGTTAACTTTGTAATCTTGACGTAAATTGCTTGTTTTGGTTATCGGACGAATCTTCTTTTTGACGTAGTCTTGATTTTGGGGAAATATATTGGCAAATTGTGCAATATTTTTGAAAAGCAATAAAAGTTTCATGCCTATTATAGCATTGACATACTTCGTCGTCGTCGTCATCAAACATTCTTGATTTTCAGGTGAACCACGGGAACTTAGTGAAGCTCGAGGGCTTCTGCGTCGACCGTGAAGGCGCAAATTGCTATCTCGTTTACGAGTACGTCGAAAACGGCTCTCTTCACTCATGGCTCCACGACGACAAACCCGAAAAACCCAGCTGGAAAACCCGGCTAAGAATCGCGATCGACGTCGCCAACGGGCTCCAATACATCCACGAGCACACGAGGCCGAAAGTCGTGCACAAGGACATCAAGAGCAGCAACATCCTCCTCGACGCGAACATGCGGGCCAAGATCGCAAACTTCGGGCTCGCGAAATCCGGGTGCAACGCGATCACGATGCACATTGTCGGGACGCAGGGGTACATCGCGCCCGAGTATCTCGCCGACGGGGTCGTCTCGACGAAGATGGACGTGTTCTCGTTCGGGGTCGTGCTTCTCGAGCTGATCTCGGGCCGGGAGGCCGTCGACGAGCACGGGAACGTGCTCTGGGCGACGGCAGGAGAGGTTTTCGAGAGGAGATCGACGAAGATGAGGGGGTGGATCGACCGGTGCCTCGTTAACGAGCCGATCGATAGCGTTGTCAGCGTGATGGCCGTCGCCGTCGCGTGTCTGAATCGTGACCCGGCGAAGAGGCCGAGCATGGTCGAGATCGTTTACGCCTTGTCGAAGAGCGACGAGATGGATGTGTCCGAGGAGGGGTTTTCTCCCCGGCAAGTCGATGCGAGATAGATTGAGCGGGATAATGTATTTAAATAAAAAAAAAAATAGATATTTGATGTAATATTTTTGAAATGTATTGTTACGTTCGAGGAAGGGTTTTTGCCCCGACAAGTCGATGAGAGATAATGTATTTAAATAAAAAAAATAAATATTTGATATGATATTTATGAAATGTATTATATTGATGCAATAATTCCGAGTATGCAAGAAGGAAAAAATAATAATAAATAATAATAAGATGGGAAAATCATACTAGGCGAACCATGTGTGGAGGCATCGGGGGTTAAACCCTCGACCTCATAGTCACAAATCCAACTCCTAGATCACCAGGTCATCCCTTACGGGACTACTTGAGCATTATTTTTCATCGTGAAATAGTTGTTTAACAAGGCTTCGTTCTTTTATAATTTAAAATTGATTTGAAATACGATGACGTTGATTTGAGATTTTGTATACTCTTTCCGTCCCAAAAGAAGTATCTTATTGAGAGTTGGCACGAGAATTAAAGAATAATAATATTTAATTGAAAGTGAGTATAAAGTAGAATGTAAATGACTAAAATGTCATTGCTTTTTGAAGCATTTTAAATAGTACAGTAGAGTAATAATTAGGGGTAGTATGGAAAAGTAGGAATAATTTTGTTATAAAGTGAGGAGCACGATTACTAAATAAGAAAACAAGACAATTGTTTTGGAACGGACAAAAATAGAAAAACAAGATAAATCTTTTGGGACGGAAGAAATATATAATATTGTGATATAATATATTATGAGAGAAAATAATAATTTTATTGAAATTGTGTTAAGTGAATAATGTTAGTTTTGATTTGAAATGATAAAAGAACAACCAATATTTTCTATTTAATATTTATTTTTATATAAAATGTTATGTTTAATATTTATACTATATTTAAATTTAAAGCATTTTACAACACTTAAATTCAATTGGGTTGTTTTTATAGGTTTAATTTGAAAATATTTATAGTTTCGGTTTTATATTTAAATAATGTTTTATGACATATTTTATGAGATGAATTTTATTTTATTTTATTTAAAAAATAAAAAGTTCACAAAAATATATATATATTTTTTTATGTCCGTCTGTCTTATAATTTGACATTTTCTTTTCTTTTTTTAAATATTATTATACTTTTTAATTATATTTTTAAATTTTTAAATTTATAATTTTTTTATATTTTTAAATTATTTAATTATTTTAATTTTAATTTTAATTTATAATTATTTTATTATATAATAATTATTATTATTAATTTTTTAATTATTTACTAATTATATTTTCCTAATTTAGTAATATGAATAATTTAGGCTGGAGGAATACATTAGTATATTTTAGTTGAATTTTTATTAAATATATTTTAATATGATATTTTTAAAAAAATAATAATAATATTATACTTTTATAAAACTCGTTTTAATATATTACACCTACTCATTATTTTTATATTTTTTTATTTTTTAACAAATTATTTATTTTTTTATTTTTGGTCCTTCTAATAATAAAATATCAAATTTTTTTTAGTATTTTACTATCTATCTAACATTACAAAATACTCTTCAAATTTACAATATATTACACAAATATTATTGTTTTTATATCATACAATATTAATAAAGTTAATTTAGTATTTATACTTTTTTTTTCTACTATATTCCAATAAAATATTAATATTTCAAAATTTTCATGCAAAAAATAGATAAATATGAGACGGAGGGTGTATTACTTACACAATTATCTCTGCTCCTTCCTTCTCAACAGTCCCACTCAAAATTACTGTTTTTCTATTTTAGTAAAAGTAATCATACACTAATACTAAATTACTAGTAACTTTTATCTAAATTACAAATATATCGTTATAAATACAATTACTTTATACAAAAAAAAAATTAAATTACAAAAATATCAAAATCTCTTACACATTTTCATAAATCAATAAAATAATATTATTTTTTAATTGAATACAAAACTCCAAAACCCTCTTAAAAAAAGAAGAAAAAACTATTTCCTTCGTCCCAATACAATAGTCTTATTTACTATTTTTGTTCATTCTAAAACAATAGTCTTATTTTCATAACAATATCACTATAAAACTACCATTATTTTTTCATTATTATTACACAATTGTCACTACTTTTTACATTAATACATTCACAAGGGCAAAAAGATCTTTTACTCATATTTTTTACCTACTATCAATATAAATCAATATAATATTAATATTTCTTAAATCTCGTACCCAACACAACCAAGACTATAATTCTGGAATGGAGAGAGTACTTCACATAAAAATATATACTCCCTCCGTCCCAAAAGATTTGTCTTGTTTTTCCATTTTCGTCCCTCCCAAAACAATTGTCTTGTTTCCTTATTTAGTATCCGTGGTCCCCACTTTATAACAAAATTATTCCTACTTTTCCATACTATCTATAATTATTACTCTAACATACTCTTTAAAATCCTTAAAAAAGCAAGGGCATTTTAGTTATTTATATTCTACTTTATACCTACTTTCAATTAAATACTATTATTCCTTAATTATTGTGTCGAACTCTCAATAAGACACTTCTTTTGAGATGGAGGGAGTAAATATATTTTTTCAAATAATTTCACTAAACCAACGCACCTTGAAAATCACTTACTCTCCGTATATGAGCTTTTATTTTTTAGGCAATTATTTAATTATATAATAAAGTAATTTATTCTTTCTTGAAAAATCATATCTAAGTATTTTTATCTATCAAACAATTATATTTTTTAAAAATAAAAAATAAAAAATAAATTCAAAATACTTAAAACACAAACAAACCCACCACCATCAGTTTGTTTGTTTGGCAAAGTTGAGACATGCATTATGGTGTTTTCGATTAAAATTTCCCTAAATTCCAGAACAAGTGCAAGTGGATTTATAGCTGTGTTTGTTTGGGGCTTTCAATTTTGGGTTAGGATTTGAATAATAAGAAATTTGAATCGAAATAATTATATAATGTGATATAAATAAACATTAATGTAATATTTTGAATATCAATTTAATTTTTTAATCTATTATAAAAATAAAAAGTAAGTATTTTATTTGATATTTTTGGAAAAAAACTTTTGTATTAATAATAGAAATCTTAACAAATTCTTCAAACAAACACAACATTAAATTTTTATTTCGTTTTTTTAAAATAATTATATATTTTAATCGTATTTAAAATTTTATATTATTTCGGTTCCGCAAATAGATAACTCATTTTTTTTAAAATAATTATATATTTTAATCGTATTTAAAATTTTATATTCTTTCGGTTCCACAAACAGATAACTCATTTGTTACATGACGATTGTTTACATAGTGTAAATTAATAAATTATGATATTATTTTATTATTTTTTATATGAATACTATCGTTGGTATTTTCAAAATATAAATTAATATATAGAATTTTTTTTTTTTTTTAAAAATAGAATATGTATTTAAATATTTCTATCATTATATTTCAATAAAATAGTACTCCAGTATATACTATATGAATAATTATTTTGTAGATAATAAAAATTTATACTAATAAAAATTAATAAATTAAAAGTATTCATTTATTTATAAAAAAAAACTAAAGAATTTTAAATGTAGATAAAAATATTTATTTTTTAGTTAATAAGATAAAAATATGTATTTATTGAAGGAGGGATAGAGATATAGAGATTTTGACTGAATCCTAGGTGTAAAAAAATTAGAAATTTAATAAAAATAATTTATATTTGTTAATTATATTTAAGATAAAATAATAACTTGTTCATATTATTATTTCGTTTCGTCCTATATTTTATTTTTATAAAAAAATAATTATATATTTTAATTATATTTAAAAAAATATATTTTTTTAATTTAATATAATTATTTATATTATATAATAACTGATTTTTAATAATAAAAAAATGGTACAAATAAAGTATTAAATATTCAATACCCCTAAATTAAAAGATAAATAAATAAATAAATAAGGGATGTATGTTGATAAACAAGCTACGAGTTAGAGTGTTACTTACAATTATCTCATTTACTTTTAATTTTTAAATATTAATTATTATATAAAAACGTAATATAAATTGAGGGAACAAAATAAAAATAATTTTATTAATATCTTATAATACTATTACAATAAAATTTATGTAAAAATTATACAAATATAAAAATATTTTTAATGTTAAGTACAGTAACATAAAATATAAACGAAATCCTTAAAGTATTACGGAAAGAATATATTATTAACTTATATATTATATTTGTATAATATTAACGTATACGATTGTACTATATATACATGTTAATATTATACAAATATAATTTATTAAAATAATAATACTCCCTATGTCACATAACAAAGTATTCATTTTTCTATTTTAGTCCGTCCCATAACAAAATATCTATTTTCATAACTGTACTATCTATCTAACATTATAAATATCATTACAACTTACAATATATTACACAAATGCCATTACTTTTATATCACACATACTAATAAGATTATTTTGGTTATTTCTACTTTATTCTTACCATATCATGATATAATATTAATATTTATAAAACTACGTGCAAAAAGCAAATAGATACTTATTTCTGTAACGGAGAAAGTATTATATTTATGTACTATCAAATTATATTTGAAGTATTGTCAACATAATACTGGATAACATAAGTATCTAACACATGCATTATGTCATTTCTATGTTCAAACTAAAGTTTATATAGGAGAATTTTGAAGAGTTTTAAAATTTAAAAAAAAAAATTATAAAAATAATACTCCCTCCGTCCCACCTAAATTAAACTCTTTCATTAGGGATACAATATTTAAGGTAAGGATTTTAATTAGTTAATAATAATTAGTTATGATATTATGATATTACTGTTCTGTATAATTAATAATATTTATATTTTTAAAGTAAATTTAATATATATGATTAAAAAAATTATAAATATATGTTTAAATATTTAAAAATTATATAGTAATTAAAAAGTATATGCAATATAGCTATCATTTTGTAGAGAATAAAATTTTTTATAATACAAGTAGATGCAAAAATATTTTTGTTTATTTATAATTAACATAAATCAATTTTATAAAAGATGTGTAGTTTTAAATATAGATAAAAGTATTTATTTTTTTGAGGAGAGGGATAGAAATAAAGGGTTTTTGAGTGGTCCTACGTTGTTTATGATGTTCTATGTTATGTAGTTAATTAAGTTGTGTCAATTGTTACGAGACAGACAAAAATGAAAATAGTGTCAATTGTGGTGGGACGGAGGGAGTATTTGATATGATATTTTATATAAAAAATACTCCCTCCGTCCACAAACTAATGCCCTACTTTTCTATTTGGGACGTCCAACAACTATTGTCCTATTTTCTTTTTTAAACACAAATTTTATATTTTTACCCTTAATTCATTTATTACTTTTAATCTCTACTATACAATTAAGGACAAATTTGTTAATTCATAACAAAAAGACAATCACCTAAAAAATCGTATAAATATACTTTAGAACAATAGAAATTGGACGGCGGAACTATATATATTTAATGTATTAGTATATGTTTTGTTTTTTTTAAAAAAAAACCATAAAATTCCAAAATTTATTGTGTAAACAAATTGCAGACAGGAAATCTTAGAGAAAATATGGTTCAGAAATAATAATTATTTATGTAATTATTTAATTATAGTAAATTATAATCAATGCCAATTGCCAACACACTTTCAAAAGATTCTTCGGGTGTGTTTGTTTGAAGAATTTTGGAGGATTTCTACTATTCATCCAATTTTTTCTCCCCAAAAACATCACATTAAACACCTATTTTTCATTTTTTATATTATACTAAAAATCAATTTTACATTCAAAACATCACATCAAACCCTATTTATATCACATCATACAACTATTCAAATTCAAAATTTTTACTATTCAAATCCCAATCCAAAATCCAAACCCCCAAACAAACACACCCTTCAAAGATTAGTGAAGATTGCAATGATTATACGTCATCATGCTTATTATTTTAACACAACATTTGAGAAACCGATTTTTTTTTTTTTAAAAAAATACTATTATTATTAATAAATATTTTTTAAAAAAGAAATAAAATATATATATACTATTTTCGTTCGGCTCTAAGGTCACATTTATTTTTTTGCGCGTTGATATTTAAACATTAATTATTATATCAAAATGTAGTACAAATTAAGGAAAAATGACAAAAATATTTTTAATAGTGTCTTATTGTACTAATATAATGATATCTGTAAAAAAAATTAAATATAAAAATATTTTTAATATTAAATACATTAATGTAAAATAAATTTAACCTTTACATACGGACGGTATCATATATTATATTTTTATATTATACTTTCTCTCTACATCTAAGTTTTACATATTTTTAGTTTTTGTCTGTGTAATTTAAGTATATATATTTATATATAGTAATTATAAACAATACCAAAAAATTACAATATTTATATTTTTAAAATATGCATTTACAATCATATTATTAGATATCATTACTTTTTAGTAAAAATTAATTTTATTTTTACGTCTTCAAATTATATATATTTGTTGTAATAAAAGAAAATATTTTAATTTCTTGTTTAGTAAAAAAAACTATTTTTTTTTAAAGAAATTCCTTAGTATAAAGAAATGTCTATATTTTTGTCAATTTTTTTTTTTTTAAAAATTCATATATGATCAACTACGCATAAACTTCGATAATAAATATAATACAATTATTGTTAAAATATTAATTTTTTTTAATTCACGCGTCAAAATGTGTCCACCTTAAAAGTGAACTGATGGAATTTATATATTATTTTTATTGTATATTAGTTATTATTTTATTTTATTTTGGACTACGGGAGGTGTCGTGCTGAAAGTAATCATGATCAGAGGGCTTTCTTTAATTACTCTTATAGGCTCTTATAGAATTTGATAATATATTTTAATTTAATTTAAATATATATACTCCCTTCGGTTCCAAAACAGAGATTTTATTTTTCATTTTTGTCCGTAAAAAAAAAAAACATTATTTCTTAATCTAGTAATTATACTGTTTACCTAGCATAATAAATACTCTTCCAACGTATAATATATTAAACAAATGCCACAACCTTTATATTAAAACCATACTAATAGGTGTATTTTTGTCTTTTCACTGCATCTAAATATAATACTAATATTAAAAAATCTACGTGCAAGAAACAAACGTTATTCTTTATATGGGACAGAGGAAATATTTAATTTGATATTTTTGAATTAATTTTTTTTTTATATATATATAGTGAAAAACAAATCAAATAATCCAAACAAACACACCCTAGGACTAGAATTAAAATACTCTCTCCGTCCGGTTTGTCTCATTTACCTTTTGCGTCATTGTACTGAACATTAAAAATAATCTTATATTTATATAATTTTTTACACAAATGTCATTGTAATAGTATTATAAGACACTACTAAAAGTATTTTTGTCATTTCCTCTTAATTTGTATTATATTTTTATATAATAATTAATATTTAAATATCAACATGTAAAAGTAAATGAAACTCTTAAAGTCGAAACGAGGTAATAATATATTGTGTGAATTAATATACTTATATTGTCCGAGTATACATTTGTACTATGTTAATATTCATTTTGTGTCTGAACAATTGTAATATACCCCATTAGTCCTTTATCAAACAGGTCACTTAGAGTTTTCTACTAAATTAAAAAATATTAATATTTTATTAATTAGTAGAAGTATGTAAGAGTTTTTACATTTTTATCATTTGATTTTATATATAAAGTAATTGTATATGTAATAATATGTTTGTAATTTAGATAAAAGTTAAGAGTATTTTGATAAAGTGTATAATTACTTTTATAAAATAAAAAATAAATACTTTAAAACTGGATAGAAGAAAATGATAAAAATAATATTTTAAATTAGAACGGATGGAGTATACTCCGTCTCAATACAATAGTTTTGTTTACCATTTTTATCCGTTCCAAAACAATAGTTTTGTTTCCATAAATAATCATATCACCGTAAAACTATCCCTGCTTTTTCATTTTTATTACACAGTTGCTACTATTTTTTACACTAATACACTCATAAGGGCAAAAAAGTTTTTTATTCGTACTTTTTACCAACTACTAATATAATATCAATATTCCTTAAATTTTGTGTTCAACTAAATTACGACTATATTTATGGGACTGAGGGAGTATTTGTTAATTCATACCCACTTTATGCTGAAATTTATTATTACATGTGGTTTATGCATTATTGCTTACTATATGCTATGTGAATTACAGCTAGTCAACATGTCCTAACCACAATCCATTAGTATTTATTTATGTATTGTTTATTTAATAATTGAATTATGAGTTGTTCATGTATTATAATAATTTAGGTGTTAGAAAATAAACTTTATAGTATAAAATTAATTTGTTAATTGTAGTTTAAAATTATTTCAATTAAAATATTAAAATATTAATTTTTATTTTTTTTTTATACATAATTTGTCTTTTTTTTTTTAATAATAAACTGTAATTAAATTTTAAATTTTATAATTTATAATTTTTATAAAATAATTAGTTCTTTTAGTAAATAATTATTTGTATTGTATAATAATTTTAATATTATTTATTAAATATATATAAAATGTCAAATAAAAGAATAAACATTTTACAATTTGAAACATATTTCAAAATTTCAATTCTAAAAACAAATTACTTGATTATTATCCTCTTATGTTCTTGCTGCATTAATGGAACAAAATAAAAATTAAAATAGTTGGATTTCAATTTCAAGCTCAAGTGTGTTTCTTTTAACAATTTTTTTTTTTTTCAAATTTTACGCAATTCCTCAAAAAAATTATACTCTATAGATCGCATCTAGATATCACGTTTACTTTTTGCGTCATTACTTAACATTAAAAATATTTTTATATTTATAGTATAATTTTTTCTACAGAACTTTTTCTATTAGTACTGTAAGACACTGATAAAAATATTTTTATAATTTTTTATTAATTTGCACTATATTTTAATATAATAATTAATATTTAAAGATAACATCCAAAATATAAATGAAACTTTTATAGTCGAAAACATTTTTTTTTTTATAAAATATTATAACAAATATTATTTAAATACAAAATTTAAAACATATCAAAGCCAAAAAAAAAAAAAAAAAAACAAAGAACTAACAAGAAGTGAATTCATTCACATGCATACATACATTTTGGAGATTTATTACAAGCAAAAAACACAAGATCTGAAAGCCACCATGGCTCTCATGCTATATTGGCAATGGTATTACATTACTAATAACTTTCTTTTTCAAGAATAAATAAATAAATAAAAATAATAATAATAAAAAGGTGAATAGTAATAATAATAATAATAATATAGTTTCTTCTTACATGACATTGCCAGATGAATATTTGAGAACCCTTTCTGGATATATATAACAAACTGTCCAAAAAAAAAAATTAAAACAAAACAAAACAATGAACTAAAAACATTGCAACTGCAAGATGATAACATATACCAATAATCATCATCTTGTTCTTGTCACAAATTAATTAATTAATTAATAATTAATCATATATATATATATAAATAAATAAATATCAAGAAAAGGCACAAGACAACAAGCCTCTTGCAGCCTCCTGGCCTTTCACAATCCTCAGCCTCTTACAAGTCGACACAAACATTCTGCACATTCAAACCAATTAATCTTTAGTCAGTATTTTTAGATGAATTAATTTTTTTTATACATAGAATGAAAAACTAAGTTAATAATATAATAAATAATATTTTGTGTTGAATAGTTAATTTTTTTTATGAGTGAATGATATTTATTATATTAATATGAATGCATATTTATATTTTTTTAATAATATTTATAGAAAATTATTCCATTGAAAAATAAAGCATAAACAGACTAAATACAAATTTACTATATACCCGTAAGAAAATAAATAACTCCCTCCATTCGTTACTATTCTGTGTATCCCTTAACAATCTATTCATTTTTTTCATCTTAGTTCATCTTATAACTAAATATCTATTTTTTATTTTAGTAATTGTATTATCTCATTAACATTACAAAACAAATTGATAGATAAATATGAGACGGAATGAATATTTTTCATTTAGGGCTTTTCAATTTAATAATTGCGCTATTTAAGTGACATAATAAATACTTTTACTATTTTGAATATATTAGCATAATATTACTATTACTATTATTAGTGTATTTGTTTTTGTTTTTTTTTTTATTATACATAAATAAATAAATAAATAAATAAAATAAAATTGAAAAGGAACATACTCCCAAGGAACATCTCCAACAAGCATCAAGTCTCCATCTTTATCTTCATAAGCTGGTGCATATTCTGACCCTTTATACCCTTCCCTCTCTGAATATTCACCTGTTATATATCCAATCCATAAATTAATAAATTATTTTTTTTAAAAAAAAATTACTGTAGATAAATTGCCAAAAAAAAAATTAATAATAAAATATAGCTTCAAGTTGTGCAAAAGTCTTGAAAAGGGTAAAAGATCTGAAATGTAAGTGTGAAAGGTAACTCAGTAAAAGATATTTATTTAAACAAAAAAAACTCAAATAAAGGTTTATTTTAAATCAAGTTCAAATAAAAAAAAAAATTTGATAATTTGAAAAAAGAATGAACCTTTGGGCAACTTGAACATCCCCTCGAGTGCTTCTAGAAGCTCCGAATACCCTTTGTAGACTTTCAGATCAATCTTCCTCAGATATGGAGCTCCATCCATGCTCACCTTCACAAACATCCCTGCCTGCTGCTGATCTGCCTCGCTCTTCTTCTGACCGCTGTTCTTCCTCATCGTCGACCGCACCGGCGGCCATCCCACAATCTGTGCCCTGATTAACACAACTCCAATTTCAGAGACAGATTTATTTTTTTTTTTAAAAAAAATGAATTGGGGATTTAAGGTTAGGGTTTACTTGGGGGTGGCCTTGGTTGCCCTCTCGTCGGCGGATAACTCCGGCGAGGCTCTTTTGTTCGAAACAGGGGGGGTTACGTCATCGGCGGCGTCGGTTCCCGGCAAGCCGAGGCGGAGCTCCGTCGCCTTGAGATTTAGGTCGGTCATTGATTTTTGAAGAGGTTTTTCGAACGCCAAGTGTTCGACGAATTGCTTGAATAGAGAAGGCGAGCAGAATTTTTTTTGGAGAATTGTTGGGAGGGATTGTTGATTAGGTAAATGAAGATTGGGGATTTTATAGATTAGATGAAGATTGGGGAAGACGACGAGAGGGGGGGGTGTCGGCAGGAAATGCAGCAAAATAGAGGGAAGTGGATGGGTGGTGGGGGGACAGTGAAGGGACAAGCTCAGCCGCCCAGATGGAATCACTACTTTTCGACGGTCACGATGCAATATCCATGTCCAATTTCTCTCCTTAATTAATCGGAAGGTTACGGAAAATCAGTACCTGTAAAATACTCCCTCCGTTTCTTTAAAATTGTAATGTTTGTTTTTTCTGCTAACTTCGCTCAATACAATGTCTAGTTTATCAATTTTTATTTATCCCAAAAATAATAGTCTTATTTTTATAAATAATTATATTACCATAAAACTATTTATATTTTTTTATTTTTATTACACAATTATCACTACTTTTTATACTAATACACTCACAAGAGTAAAAAAAATTTTTATCCATATTTTTTATCTACTACTAATATAATATCAATATTCTTTAAATTTCATGTCCAACCTAAACTCTCTTTGTCCCACCTATCATGTCTATATTATCGTTTTTGTCTGTTCCACGTCTCATGTCACTTTTTTTTTTTAAAAAAGATTTAAGCATCTTAATTTTAGTTTAAATTTTTCAATTTAATTTTTTAAATTTTAATTAAACTAATTAGTTATTTTTAATCCTAATTTATGATAATTTATATTATACGCTAATTATTTTTATTAATATATTTTTTATTATTTATTAATTATACTTATTCTATAAATTCTCGTGTTTATAGTGACTAATACTTCCAAATTCCAATGTGGAACGGAAGGAGTATTATTATATTGGATTGTAATAAAAAAAAAAACAAAAGTATCTCAATTAGTATGGTGTAATATAAAAGTAATGACAGTTGTATAATTTATTGTAAATTGAAATGATATTTATTATATTAAGTAGACAATACAATTACTAAATTAGAAAATGATAACTTTGTTTTGAGACGGATTGAAATGGAAAATGACAACCTTTCAATAAGAATGAGGGAGTATAAAAATAACGTATGTTGTGTGTAATAATGATATGTGTTGTTTCTTCATAATTACATTATGTTATGTGTTAAAATCAACGGTTATATGTATTATACTCTGTCCCACTTACTGTATCCACTTTTCGATTTCGGTCTGTTCCACTTTGTCATTTTTTTTAAAAAAAAAATTATAAAATTTTATCTCATTTAATTTTTTTAATTTTAATTAGATTAATTAATTATTTTAACCTTAATCTATATTTATTTGTATTATATAATAATTATTTTCATTAATACATTTTTAATCATACACCTCCTAAATTCTCGTGTCTACCCTAAATAAGACACTATAGTTAGGACGGAGAGAATATGAGAGTGTATAACATATTACTAGTTTATGTATTATATTTATATTATATTAACACATACGATATGTTGTCGGCTAATTAATTAATTAATTTTTTTATAAGCATATTATATTTTTAATAAAAAATTAAAATTAAAATTAAAATTTTCTGACGGAAAGAGGGTTTTGTTTACTACTCTTAAGGGTGTGTTTGTTTGGGAGTTTGGATTTTGAATTGGGATTTGAATAGTAAAAATTTTGAATTTGAATAGTTGTATGATGTGATATAAATAGGTGTTGATGTGATGTTTTGAATGTAAAATTGATTTTTAGTATAATATAAAAAATGAAAAATAGGTGTTTGATTTGATTTTTTGAAGGGAAAAAATTGGATGAACAGTGAAAATTAAATCCAATCCCCCAAACAAATATGCTTATTTAATTTGTGTACAAATTTTAATATAGCATATATTTTTTATTTTTTATAATAAAAAGATGAGAATCGAGTGCTAATTTGGTAACATCAACATGTGTTATAAAGATACACAATATTAATTTTTATATAATACAATATATATTGTGTTATAACATACCATATACTAAATTATAATATAATATATACTGTATTATAAATATGAAATAATATATATATAATACTTCCGTCTTATACAATTTGTCATTTTCTTCTTTGGAAATATAATTATAAACTTTAATTACATTTTAAATTTCATAGTTTATAATTTTTTTAAAATTTTAATTAAACTATTTAGTCATCTTAATTATAATATATAATTATTAATATTGATATATTTTTTAATTGCTTACAAATTATCAATTTTCGTGTCTACAGTAATGTGAAATTTTTTTCAGGGACGGAGGGAGTATTGTTTACCTCAACAATATGGAATACGTGACCATGATAAAAATACTCCATTTGTCTCGTAAGAAACTATTTTTCATTCTCTTTGTCTTAAAAAAAATAAGTGTTATGTTTTCTAATTTAATAATTGTATTATCTATTTAATATAATAAATATTTTTATAATTTATAATATATTATATAAATATCATTATTTTTATATTATATAATACTAATAAGGATATCTTTAATCGTTTATACTACAAAAACAAATATAATATTAATATTAAAAAATTTTTATGTATCCAACTATATATATATATATTTATCTGTTTTCTTTAGCAGATAAAAAATAATATTCTCTTAGAGCCGACAAAAATTGACCCGATACAAAAAAAATTGGATTTGGGTCAAAGCTTTCAACCCGATTATATAGACGAGTTGACACGAACCCAACACGATAGTAAACGGGTCGGGTTAGGGTTGAGGCTCTCAACTCGAACCCGACACCACAACCCGATTATAATATATTAATATTGATTAATAAATTTATTATATATGTAAAATAATAATAATTTAATAATTTTCTCATAAATTAATTTAAACTAAGTTCAATTTTAAATAATTCAACATAATTTACGCTCAAACTAATAAAAAGTAACATAACACGACAACATAACAAAAAATTATTTAATTTGAATCAAGAAATTTGACTTAATTATGTATACGGTCAACACGAGTCAACCCGAACCCGACACAATAATAAACGGGTCAACACGAACGCGACACAATCATAAGCGGGTCGGGTTAGGGTTGAGTAACTTAACCCGTTTAAAGTATTCAACCCGACACGAATCAACCCATTATCATCTCTACTCTCTCTGTCCAAGATAATTAGGGTCTATTGTAGATACAATAATTTAGATATAGTATAATTAGTAAATAATTAAGAAGTGTATCAGTAAAATAACTATTGTATAATAAAAAAAGTATATTATAAATTAAGATTAAAATAACTAAATAATTTAATTAAAATTAAAAAATTATAAATTTTAAAATGCGATTAAAACTTACAATTATATTTTGTAAAAATAAAATAACAAATTATATGAAATAAAAAAAAATACTTGTATTGTCTCATTAAACACAAAAATATCTTATAGAAATGTTTTATTGGATTTGACCTTATATTATTTATTTATTTATTTATTTGTCACAAACAATTCATTGCATTTGCATTAATTTATAAAAGATAAATTAGAGCAATTAAAGTCGGTGGATTAAATATTTATATATATATATATATTTATAAGCCTATTTTCTGACATAATTAATTAGTAATTTTATTAAATTAATAATTATGAAATACAATGAAGCTTGATTAGTGAGTAAATTAAAGGGAAAAAGGGTTTGACTAATTAAAATATTAATTAATTGTAAGAATAATTAAGTGTGCTTAATTAATTAATTATGAAGATGCCTTTATGTGTCTCACCCTTGTGGAACAGTTGCTCTTTAATAATAGAATATTATACTCCCTCTATCCCAAAAAGTATTTATTTATTTTTTTACATAATTTTAGAAATATTAGTATTATATAAGAATATAGTAGGAATAAAGTAGAAAAGATTAAAATAACCTTGTTAGTATGTGTGATGATATTTGTGTAATATTTTGTAAGTTATAAAGGTATTTGTAATGTTAGGTAGATAGTATAGTTACTAAAAAGAGAAATGGATACTTTGTTATGGGACGGATTAAAATAAAAAAATATATATTTTGTTATGGGACGAAGAGAGTATATTCTTTATGTTGTGTTCTCATTTATTTAAATTAATTAGTAATAATAATAAATTACATTTTAGAAGAATCTAAGCCTAACTGCATGATGATAAAAATAAATAAATTCAAATTTTAAAAATAACTGGAATAATTTTTTTAAATTCATAATGGTTTCGGTGGTACTTTTATTAAATTAACAATGGTTTCATTATTTTATATTCCTTTCATCCCAAAATTATAGTTTAGATTGTGTTTGACACGAAATTTAAAGAATATTACTATTATATTAATAGTGGGTAAAAAATATAAGCAAAAGATTTTTTTGCCGTTGTGGGTGTATTAGTATAAAAAGTAATGACAATTATGTAATAATAATAAAAAAGTAAAATTAATTTTATAGTGATATGAGTATTTATGGAAATAAGACTACTGTTTTGAAACGTACAAAAATGGTAAAAAGGACAATTGTATTGAGACAGAAATGTACGTGGGGCAATGGGGGCTCCCCCTCTCCCCACCCCACTCCCCTATAATTTTTAATTTTTTGTTTTTATTTTATAATATATAATATAAAAAATAAAAAATAAATTTAAAAATTGCAAAAAAATTGATAAAATATTTATGTGAAAATTTAAATTTTGAATAATAAAAAAATTTATATCATAATAATTTTTTGATAATATAAAAATAAATATGAACAAAAGAGTAATAAATAATAATTAAAAAAAATCTTCAAAAATTTCTCAACCAAATCCACAGGAAATGATAATTTTTAACAGTTTTTTTTTAATATATGTTTTTATTATTTATCAATTTCATATAATACAAAATTCATTTTGTAAGATACAGTTGTCAATGTAGATTGATATTTTGCAAGATTTTCGAAATATGATAACTCCATTATAAAATTATTGGATAACAAATAGATGATGATCGTTTCAAAATTTTAAAAATTAGCCCCCCCTTTCATCCTGGTCTGGTTCCGCCTCTGTGTATAATACGGAAGTTTCTCCATCCAATTCCAAAGTATTCATTCATAATTTTTTTTTT